TAAAGTGTACTATAAATTTCAAAACTTGGTTTTTGCGAAAATGTTACGAGAAAAAAAAATATTTACATTGAAAAATAAACTGTAAGCAAATTCCATAGCATTTTTTTTCGCCTGTCTTTGTTCTGGTGGGGGTGGCCATTTAGCCCATACGCTCTATTTCAGATGTTGACGGTAAGTTTAGGTCTGACGCATAGGAAGCGTACTATTGTAAGTATTGTCAGATAATGTAGGTACACGTTCAAACAATAAGTTGATTAGAGCATGGAATCCGTGGTGTCTGCACTTGGCTGCCCGGCGTCTTCGGTCTCCACGGTCTTATTGAATCATATCCACTGTTCTATGAACTAAAATCTCGCTTAAACAAAAACTAAGCATTATATGAACATAGTATACATGTATACTAAATATTTAGTTCCACTAAAGTACTATTATGGCAAAATAGTTTTGATTTATTTACCACTGGTTGCTTTTATACCTAAATAACTATAACAGTTGTGTATCATTCAATAAGCCGTTACGTACACCATTAAAGGTGAGACCTCGAGCGGCCATTTTGTGACGTCACTGTCGACAAAATGGCCGCCGTATCTAGTTTGTAAGTACTGAGCATTATTAATGGAGCAAATGTATATTATTTTGGTACAAAATGTTGTTTCTTTGATTTTGATTTTTTTATTATTTTTTTATTGTTTTTGCTTCGCATTTACAGTGTGATCATGCTTATATTACAGTGTTTTGCATGTAAACTGATGTCTGTGAGTATTGCACAATTTGTAATTTTTTTCCTTTTTTTTATTAATTATTGTTAATGTAAGTAGATGTTTGTAACAAGAGTTTCTGATAATATATTTTTCATTCTATTAACTAAATATTATCAGATCCTCAATGAAAGGTTTTATATCCGAATTTTTCATTTTTATTACTGTTATAACAGTTGAACGTATAATAAAAATGGTTATATACAACCACGATAACTTACTTACAAAACTTTCTAACACTGTAGACGATAAGATAAAATATATTCATGAAAATAAAATCAACGCATAAACTAATATTATCTCCACTATTACACCAAAATTAGTGAACTAAGTGTTATACATTATATATATAAAAATAATAAACAAAACGGCTCTTACATTATTCACTTAATTTTTCTTTTATTTTTTCATTAACTCGGTTGTGTATGTACTTATATAATAAGTTGATTTTCGTAATCTTTTATTTATTTTTGAGTTTTAATGTAACGATACGTTTTATTGTTAAATAATACATACTTAACCGGCACTATAAATCACTATAGAAAGTAAAAACTCATTATAATAAAAGTATTTATTTGACAAAAATTTTGAATTTTATTTGTACCTCAAACACGTTGATAGTATGCCGCTGAAGTTCGAATGCAAATTACCGCGAAGTAGCTCACATACCGGACCATTTTTGATCATTCTGAGTAGCAGTAGTTCCCTCACGGTATTTATACTATATTTTCATATTATTATTTTGTTTATATATTTAGTATTTGCTACTGGATGCCCTCGACCCCGACCCAGCTAGTGAATGCCCCTATCCTAGTTACAGTTAGGCACTTTACTAAGAGACTGCTTCCTACAAATATTTCCATAGTTATCTATAGCTACAACTCTTCACTATCAGTAGTTGTGGTGTTCTAAAGCCAAATGATGATTGTTACTGGATTGTTCCTATACATTAGTCATGATGCCGTTTGATTTTGGAACGCCGCTGGCGAGTTTCCACGTATCACGTCGGCTAGCGCCGCGCCGGCGACAGCTGGTCTGGTAGTTAGGAGAGTGCCGGGCGCGTACTGACACGTCCGTCATGTTGTTTTGCAGCAAAAGGCGGACATATTGGCCGGTCGCAGGATATTTGTCAATAATTATTTGGCGGAGCACCGAAGGATCAGCGTGCAATCTGGCGGCAGCTCCCTGCCCGCTCTCAGCCCGGTATCGCATCAGAGCGATGATTAAATGCCCCAATTAATAATAATAACGACACTAAAGTGAAACTAACGAGTAAACACACACGGACTCAAACTACTGCCATTTAATAAACTAAAACATAACAATCGAACGAAATATTCTAAATATAATGACTAATAACAGTTTTTCGCTAAAATTTCTAAAACAAGTAATAGTCATCTTTTTGAAATCTCTTAAAAATGTAAATGCAGTAGATAGTTAAGAATTGTTTATTAAAATATAAGTAAAACATTAGATGATTCGCTAAATATATTAAATTAGATTTATATGATAACTATGGTGCACCTCTGTTTACATGGAGTATATTAGATTTTGAGCAAATTATTTTATGACCGGTATATATAATTAAAACTTTCTGATATATTTTAAAATAATATAATCGTGTTAATTTTTTCTGTAAATATATAAAACTAAATCTCATCTTTTCCTTGTAATTAATATGTTTAAAAATAACTGTTGTGTGTTAAAAATTAAATAAAAGTATAAAATACGGATAAATTCATGTGCCATTTTTATATATTATAAAAAGTAAATATTGAAAAAAAAAATACAAAATACACAATTTGTGCTATTCAAGTGCTTTTATAAACGTTTTTAATAATAAGATGATATTTAAATTTGCTTGTTTATTATTTTTATTTTATTATTGTTATTATTTATTGAAGGAATGCGATATAGATGTTACATTTTATTACCTTTAGTGTTAGATGATGTGTCTTTTTATTATTCTAGAAGCTCGTTGTGTTTTACCTTTAGTAGTTGGCGGATTTGATTCGTCTGTATGTATCGGCCACAACTACAAAACACAAACGCTATGCTCATATTTTTCTAGACGTAAACATCGGTTTGGCAGACGGTAGAAATGTATGCATTAATGTTATATGGCACAATACTATAGTTTGTTTTTTTTAAATCTTGCATGTACCTTATCGGAAACTTTTTACTATGAAATCTATGTTTTCTTTTATACTATGTATGCTTTGGTAATTTGTACCACCTGGGTTGATTCCCGCGTTGTACAAACTTACCAAAGTACCTTCCTCTACACTACACAACTGTCCACTATTCTTTAGTCTTCCATCTCATTCTAATTTTATTTATTTCTTCTTCACCAAGGTATCTCAAGCAAATTTAATTATCATTCCAATGTTTTGTGGTAAAGTTTAATATATGTTTATATGTTAAGTATATACTAAATATTTAATAAAACCTTTGTGTATTGAAACTTAAACTATAATGCACCACAAGTAGTTCTAAAGTCATGCCTGCTATCAATGCTAAGACTTAGAAGAGGATAGTATACAAAATTAACTATTATACTTAAACTATGGATGAATAATCGTGTCTTGGTGTACACCAAAAATTTAGATTTAAATATAAAAATACGTTTTTTCAAAAATTTAAATAATTATGCTTGTAGTAGGTACGAACACGGCGATAGTGACTCACGTAATTTATTAAACCTACCATAGCAAAGCATGAGATCTCGCTACTACTATCTAACTCGGTATTATCAACTGGTACTGTTAATTCGTTATTTCTAACGCTTCTTGTCTCTTAAACTTTAGTAATAAAGTATCTATACTCCAAAAGTAACTTTCATTTCACCTGCCACATTGTGGAGAGCTGCAATAATAAGGTAAACTTGCAGTTTTGAGAACGTTGATGTGTCGATGTTGGTCCAAATGTTTGTTGTTGGCGGCCTGTGGCCAACATGGGCCCTTTATGTCGTACGGTCTAGTTCGATGTTAGATCCGCTTGGCGCTTACACGCTGTCACTTGTACAGTAGACTCACGAGGCATGGACTAGTGACTAGACGTTGTCTCTGCGTATATGCACATACAGCATACAAGGTAAACGAAACTTTTTCTTATTCGCACTATACTAAGGCTTATATTTGTACTTACACTTGTATGTAACATATATGCATTGACAAACAATTAACTAGAATAGATACGTGCTCCGCTTTAAAAATAATTGCCACGCTAAACTAAATCTAATGTAAATAGTAACACATGTTTAAATCGACAACCCAGGATATCACAGATAGCAAGAAAATTAAATGTATAGGCATCATTTAGTTTAATATCACCCTGTATTATATGTACTTGCTTATGTACAATAGTTGTGAGAAAGCTTGATTAGATTGTCCTATACCGGTACATATATCTAGGTACATATTTATCTGGTATGTGAGCGACTTCGGCGACCCAACGATGTGTGTGCTTCATAGAATAGATCGCATGTAATTATTGAACATACACACACAAGTGCCGAATGTTTACAACGACACAAACACACACACACATACACATACATGATTTTATTTTAAACAAAGTACCACGGAACCCAAACCTTAGTATAAGTGTTCAATGTTAAATGTCCATTATTATTATTATTATGATATTGTGTTTTGTTCTATTAGTTATTATTTTTTTATGTTAATTGTTTTTTTTTATACTTTTTTTTATAAAAGATGGATGTAACGGAGCCCTGGATGGAAAAATATATAAAAATTATAGTATATAAGTGCACACCCCATGAATGTGCTTCTTAAGGTACTTTATAGGAGATACCCCGCGTCTTATATCTTTTAGTTTTCTTTACTGTGTATCTTATATATATTATATACTTCTTCTAATATCTTGCTCATCGCTTCGCGAGGCACACTGCTTCGTCTAGTCCCCCTAATGAACTTCTATACTTTCTGATATTACACTCTGTTGATAATATATCACTGCTAAGCGTTGGACGCGATTCTACATCCTTTACTTCAAAATATATTTATTAAAACTCTTATTAGACGGTGCAATTATATATATAACACAATGATATATAGTATATACAGTAGAATCGCGTCGAACCCCGAGCACCGCAGTATATATCTATGTATTCCTTCCGCGCCGCTACTCGGCGGTGCGTGCGCCTCTCTGTGTCGTACCTTTTACTTCATGTTCTCGTTTTTATTTTCTTTTCCATGAATACCCAATTGCACACGGAAGGTGATAGGTGGCGAGTTACAAGAACGATTGATACCCGTCCCCTACAGCAAGACGTCAACCGACCAAGCTGTAAGATTCACATTTATGAGAGGACCGCCTGTTTCACTCACATTATATTATTTATTTAACTATTTTTATGTTAACATTTTTTCGTTTTTTATATGTTCAAAATGTTTTAATACTGTACTCTGTCTATCTACCTACAACTTATCCGTTCTTATATGTTCCCCACTTGCTTGTGTGTTGTAGTGTTGACTGTGCACTTCCACATTTATATATTACACTTTTTATACTCCTTTATATACGCTTTTACACTGCGTTTTATCAAATATCTCCTATTTGAATGCTTTTCCCGCACTCTGCTGCTTTCTCTCGCCCCTAGAGCGTACACTACACTAGCCTCATCGTATACAGGTTAGTTTGGCCAGAGATCTGCAGAAAAAAAAGAATCTGGATATTTGGTAATCTACCATTAATTCCAAAGATCTCCTGAATATAACTCGCCCTGTATATTGAATATAATCTGTCGAAGTGCGCCGGTCTGTCATTGCATGATCATTTGCATGTTTCCTGACGCATGCGCTGTGTTATTCATCCGTAATAATTATACTATATAATAACCCTTATATATCTAATCCACCTTGGGCTGATTTTGGGTGTGTCGATTAAAAAAAACACATTTTTTTTTCACTATTTTTGTGAGCGAATTAAATGTGAAACTGTGTTGTATATTAATCGACTTCAATTATAACTTTTTTATAATAATTATTAATTATAAGCTTTACTTATATTAATGTAATATAATTGCACCTTTTTTGAAATAAATATTCAATCAAAACTTGAAGTCGATTTCCTTGACGTTGAATGCAATGTAAATACGAATGAATGTAATCTTAACTCGATGTTAACATTGTTTTATTGTTGTGTTAATAGTTTACTAATTAATAATAATAATTTAACACAAATTTCGAACAATGGATTATTAAATTATTATAATAATACTTAGGTAGACAGGTGTCTATTGGCTAAATTCTAAACTGTAAATAGTCAACCGATTTTAGAAGTCCCTAAGTAGAACAAAAAGCTTTTATATTATTTTGGCAACCATACATCATGGCATAGTGATTTTGTTTTTATCTTTTGCCTCACATTATGCACTTACGGCCGATCCACACGTTCGGGACTTGCGTTCCTCTATTGTAAAACTCGGTACAGTCTTTTACAATAGACCAAATCTACAAGTACCCACAATGTGTGACCGCGGCACTTAATTCGTCAATTCGTGGGGTCCTACGATAGTAGTGCCATAAAAAGCCAGGGATTCGTCATAATAGCTTTCAATTCATTTCAAAATCTAGAAGCATCCGAGGTCATTTTTAATCTAAATAGCTTTTAGAAATACAAAATTTTCCTCTATATCTCTGTCATAGGCTAGTACAACGCTTTGCGTTACGTAACATGTTGGTGAGGGAAGGAGACGATCGTGAGGTTGTGTCAGCTTGCTTACATAATTTCGGATATAGGACGTTGTTGGGTAAAGCGATGTGTTGCTTCGTTCATGTGCAATGTATTGTGTACGTAGGGCAACCGCATTAACATAGAGCTTTCGCGCGTAGCTCACATAGTGATGAGTATACAGTCACAGAGAGGTAGGAGTGCTGCATGTCCACGAGGTAGTCCTCCGACACGCGACTCGACGGCCGCGGGTGTCTGTATTCAGAGGGAGGTCCCGAGCGAGCCGGCGGCGCCCGCCCAGCCCCACTGCATGGCATGGCTCGCCAACACCTACATACATTCTGTGACTGGAATTTTCAATTACCTAACGCTTTCTTGCCTCTTTTTTATGGTTCGGTGTGCTTCTATATGTTGACATTGTACATTCATGGTCTGGTTGCCCCTACCGCCGGCGGCGCCCGCGCGGCCGGCGGCAGGGGCTCACTGCCGTGGCCCGACATACGTCGCGCTCTGAGCGACGCCGCGTCCGCCCACTAACACGCCACCCGCTATTGTATGGCACTCCGTGTTCCTCGTGTTAGTCGGCGCGACGGGTCGCCGGCCGCTTACTGGCCACACAGGGCGCGGCGCATGTCCTCGCGCGGCCACCGACTGACCGCGCGGTGCGTGCGCAGATCCGCGTGGTGAACGCGTTCCGGCAGGGGCTGGACTCGCGCGGCTCGCTGGCGGACGCGGCGCTGGCGGAGGCGCTGCGCAAGCAGACGGCGCTGTCGAAGCGGTTCTCGCACTCGTCCAGCATCGAGTACGCCGACGCGGCGCGCGACACGCTGGCGCCGCACGACATCGACGTGGAGCGGCTGTCCAGCCACAGCCACACCGAGACGGCCGTGTAGCGCCGCCCGCGCCCCGCGCCCGCGCCCCGCGCCCAGCCCGCGCCCGCGCCGCTCATGGATGCAATAATTTAGCGATTAATATCAGTATTATGGACGCCGCCCCGACACCGACCGTGCCCGCGCACGTTACTCGAACCGTTACGCTGCCATCGCTCTAATTATATTATTATACATACGAGTAATAATAATGCTAAAACGATTGTGTATAAAATCATATTTTTAAAGGTAACGAGGATGACAAGTTTGGTATATTGAGTTAGACACGTATGGTTGAGGGTGCCGGTCGAGCCGGGCGCCCGCACTAGTCTCGCAGCCACCAGTGTACTTGAGCATAAGTTATATTGTTAACTAGTGTGTTTAATTATTCGATTGTTTTGAAAATATTTTATTATTATACGCGCGCGTCGCGATGCGCGCGTCTGTTGAACAAATAAAAAAAATATTGTCTAATTATTAATTTTAGATTTAAGCGCAAGGATGAGCGAATGGAAGTGTGTTTTTTGAAAAAAAAAATAAAGTTTTCGCATAGCATCGTGTCATCTCTTACACGGAATGAAATGTTTTATATTGCTTTTGTCAAAGACATGTTGTGGGAGAGTGGCGGGCGGCGGCCGCGGCGGGGCGCGGCCTCATCTTTTGTATAAAGTTATTTCATTTGTAGCGCCGATCATCGTTTGTACGTACGCCGAGTGATATTACGCGCCGCGCCCGGCCCCGCCCGCGCTAACTAAATATATATACTTAACTAAATTATTCAACTATTAGTTAAGGTGTTTGTTATAAATTTCAATAACTTTTTTTGTTTTTACGACCTTTTTCCCCTAAATCTAAGTATACATTTAAGTCATATCTCGAAGCGTAGACGCATAAACTGAAAAGTTTCTATACAAGAACCGTAAGCAACATTCTTGTGTAAAAACCGACGTAGTCCACTTTGAACATCTTCAAAATGTTTCAAATAGAAATATACATTAAAATTGTATAGCTGAAGGTATTTATTTGTAATGCTAGTCTCTTATGAAACAAATACTAATTATTCAATTATTATAATGTACTTATTGATTATTGATAAATACTTGAAGTTTATTAAACAAGATATAGTCTACGGTGTAACGAATTGATTTCGGAATTCTTTGTCTATGAGCAATAGCGAGGCGCTCCACATAGGCGACGTAGGATCGCAGTCGTGGCATTTTCAACTTATTACGTAAGACATGTACTTAATCGAGTTAGTGACGAGTTGAACGCGGCGACCGCTCGCCGACCGCAAGCCGACCGCTCGCCGACCGCAAGCCGACCGCTCCCGGCCACTTGTTATAGTATTATATGAGTATAAATAATGAATCAAAACGATCTAGCGAATCGGCAATGTTCAATTTTGTATAGAACGTTTCATAGTAGCGGTATTTGAGAGTTGTTACGTTTGGTTTGTGAGGTTCGTTGGTAGGCGCGTTCGTAGCCGCACGACGCGACGCGACCGCACCCGACGAACGAGTGGCGCGACAACTATTAAAACTATTAAACAATCTTGTAAGTAATTAAGTATTAGCTTCGAATCAATAAAAGCCTTTTTAAAAAAAATTAGTTAAAAAATGAAACTATTGAAACTTCACAATGTTTAAATAAAATAATATTAGTTATGATTTCAGTGAATAGAGAGATTATGGTATCTTTTTGTGTATTATATGATATATTGTTTCGTTGATATTCGTTACCACGAGTTCCCCAATGAAAGACATGTAATTAGGAGTCGATATCTTAGCGGTGCGTGCAGACGCGCCAACCTTTCCCTAACAATCAATTTGTTTGACACGACAGTCTGCCACTAACCATATTAGGTGATAAGTCCCATTGTTGTATTTTTCGTCTCACAATAAATGAAAATCTATTTTATTGTTTTTATACATGTGTTTTATTTTTATTGCCCTTGTTAGCTATGCAGATTTTTACGCCATCTGTATGATATAAAACATTTGAGAGTTTTGAAATCGAAAATGAAAGTATTTATTTGACTATACAAGGAATTTGAGATCTCTCTGGTAGTGTGATTCAATAAATACCTATGGTTGGGTAACCATCAGAACGGAGCCTAGAGTGCCCAAGGCAAGCACCTCATTTTTGACCCACTGCCGCTTTATATGCAGTTGGGCACATGCGTCACCCCTTCGTAACCTGGCGCCCTAGGTACTTACCTAGTCATAATACGGCTCTGGTCAGTATATTTATTTCTTGAGTACAATAAAGATAAATGGTTCATTAGTATGAGCATTATTTTTAGTAAATATATCCTTATTGTGGCTAAAGTAGAAAAAAAAATAGATAAATCATACAATTAATGTAGATAATTTAATCAAAGAAATGTAGAGGTACATAACAGAGAGAGCGAGGAACGTAAAGATATACTTACAATAATAAACTAGATTACAGCACACGAAATTCCAAGTTTAAAAAATAAAAAATTAACTCACAGCCCTATGGCTGTAAACCAAAAAATAAATATGACAATAGTATAATAAAATTTAGAGACGTAAAAAAAATTAAATGAGACATATTATATGCAAGTTAAATACAAACAAAACAACATTCATCAAAACTACTGAATATTCCAGTCAACACAACATTAAAAGTTTTAGACATAAATCGGATACCGAGGGTTGTCATCCCAAGGGTACCTAGGACGAGGGTTGAAAGGTGGCAGTGTAGGCAGAGGGAACTTGTAGTCAGGCAGGTGTAGAGATCTGGCGTTACGTCTGTTATACCCTGGGTGAGTGGGTCCTGTGTCCCGGCTAGAGGACCTCCGGCTGCCTCCTCCGTGCGACATATGGGAGGGAGTGCCCAAACTGCGCGCCGTCCTCCTGTTGGGATCCATTCTTACATCGTCAATGATAGATGGCAGCACTGGGTGGTCGGCTGATGAAGGCGCCTTCGGTACGTCTCCTTGGTACAACCAGAGTGGGTCATCACCCGCGTTACGCCGAGCTCTCATTATGATAGGCCTTCTCGGCGGCGGTGGAGGCCGGTAAGTAGGACGAATTATCAACTGACATGCTGATTCAGCGATCATGAAGACCGCGAGAACTGTCAACACTATTACCAACTTCGACATCTTACTTTCACTGTCTTTCTCTTACTGATGCCTCTGTTAATTACAGTTCGGTATTTATACAGCGTCTCAAGGCAATCAAGGTACTTACCCCCAGATAAAATGATTCGTTTGAAAGAGGGAAGAACCTCACGGTCCATTGTTTATTATTGTTCAATTTTTCCTCTTGCTCCAGTCGTATGTGATTATTTTTTCAAGTCGTTACTTACAAAGCTTATCAATATAATGTAGGAGCATACTATATATCTACCGCACTATGTACCTAAAGCAAAGTCGTAAATTGTATTAGTCATTACAATGTGATCGGAATAATTGTATCAATTCTTTGTGTGATCATTACACAACTAAAGATTTGATCTGCACGGGAATCGAGCCGGCAACACGTTACATAGTAGCCAGCCCAGCCAACTGTACGATAATTATTAAATTTAAACTAAACATAATTTTAATCTAAGTTCTATACTGTTTAGCCATTGACTTCTCTGACTGTGCTGTGAGCAACTTTTAAAGTACCTTAATAATAACACAACAACACTATAGTTTTATATTTTTAAAGTTGGTCTCTACTTAAAATCTAGACTTACAGGAGTTACAGAAACTAGCTGCTACGGGTACCATGTGTTGCGAGATGGATTCTCGCACGTAACAATCCTTACTATATAATATATCCTTACTATCCTTACTATAATATTATAAATCGGAAAGTGAGTTTGTTTGTTCCGCTTTCTTCTAAACCAATTGCTTTGAATTTTTGCAGACGTAAAATTAGAAGTCCGGAAAATTTTGGTATTCCCGAGGGAAAACAGAAGAATTGGTATAGATGGCGCTGTGTGTATTGGTATAGGCTACTTTTATCCTTTTGTAGCGCGAGCGAAGCCGCGGGTAAAAGCTAGTTATTTATAACATAAACATATCATCTAGTCTTTATCCCCGAAGGCATCCCCCAGGCAGACGTGCACATTACGATACTTAATACAATGTTACACCCTACATCCACTTTCCACTATTTATGTTATGAGTCCCATGTAATAGAGAGTGAGCCTATTGCCATATACCGGGCACAATTCCAGACTCCGTGCTACTACTGACATAAAAAAAAACCAGTGATACTTGTGACTCGGCCACCGAGGCAGACAATTATTTGATAGGTACTCAAATTGTTGTTTTGTGTCTGGGTGTGAAATTAATGTGTATGTGAATCTGAATATGTATCTATAACTTGTATGTTAGTAAACGTACCCACGATGTTCTTAGTTGAAAGTCAGGAGCCAGGAGCTACGTCTAACAAAAAATGGGCTGGTAATTGATGGGCATGCAGGGTAAGGAAAACTACAGCTGGTTATGTTCACTTATAAAAATTTGAAACATCTTGACAATGAATATGTGTATAGGTAACTACTAATAATTTTTGAAGTGGAGGCGCATTAGTAAATTTGACAATACGTACCCCAAAATCTAGGGGTTCTAACTAAAATTACGACATTTTCATACACTCCTTTATGTAAACATATTTTTCTGATTAAAGAACAGAGAGAGAGTGACATCGGCTGAAATAAAGAACATGGAATGGCTCTTGTCTGAAAATTGTTTGGTTTTCAATGGATTATACTTAGCTATCTCCGGCCTGCTTTGCTTTTGTTATTGATGTTGTTATATTATTGTTTGTTTAAATAATTAATTAAATTTAATGCCACTCATGACTATTAACCCCAGGTAGTTCCCCAGGCAGTAGGGGTTCTCGGGTTCGATTCCCGGGTCGGGCAAAGTATTACTGGGTTTTTTAAATAATTCTCACACGTACGTTAGCACGTAGTCTGGAATTGTGCCCGATAAGCAATAGGCTCACCCCCTATTACATGGGACTCATGAGTAAAGTGAAAATAGTGATCATATAAATAGTGAAAAGTGGGTGTTAAATTGTACAGTGACATTAAGTGCCGTAATGTGCACATCTGCCTACCTCTTCGGGATAACAGGCGTGATGTTTTGTTATATAATTTTAATTGCTGATGTGTATTGATGAATGCACTCATGATTTAATTATAGACATCTAGAAATGTGACCGATTAATTATTGTCTCGGTGGTCGAGTGATTGCAAGTGCGACTGCGTGCAAGGGGTCTCGGCTTCGATTTCCTGGGTTACATATACTGGTTTTTTTTTAATCTTAGAAGTAGCACGGAGTCTGGATTGGCGCCCGGTATATGTCATGGGACTCATAACATAAATAGTGAAAAGTGGGTGTTTCAATTGTACAGTGGCATTAAGTGTCGTCATGTGTGGTGCACCACTGCCTACCCCTTCGGGGGTAAAAGGCGGGATGTTATGTTATGTGTACTATTGGTACTATTGGTATTAATACACTTCTGGACACATCTAATTGGCCCACCTTAGAGTTTAGGCTTCGATGGCCCCTACCGAAATATGATTGCTACAAGGTTCCAGTAAGATTTCATTATGTATTTTTATTAAATTACCATAACTATGTTTATGTATTAAATTGAATTCTCTGGAAGGGCCTGGAAGAAATCCAGGTAAACATTACTGTTCAATATTACCAGAATACAGTTTTTCCTATATTGCAGCCTTCCAAACAAAATTAACAGTAGGTAATGAATAGTGAATTAATAAACCAGAATATTTTGTAAAAACAGTTTATTTTATGTAAGTACATTGTAACAATACATTAGACGTATCACATAACAAATACATGAAAAAATTAAAAAGTAAGTACGGTAAGGGTAGGTACCAATATTGACAAATAAAGAGCAAATTACATTGATGTACTTAGGCAGCGACTGCCAAAGGTCCTAGTGGTTCCTGGCGTAGATGGGCATCTTCGGAGGACGAGGGTTGAACGGAGGCGTGGTGGGTATGGGTATCCTATGGCTTAATCGTTTGTTAATAGACCTCGCGTTGCGCCGGTTGTAACCCGGGTGAGTGGGTCCGGTGTCCCGGCTGGAGGACCTCCGGCTGCCACCTCCGTGCGACACGTGCGAGGGAGTGCTCAGACTGCGCGCCGTCCTCCTGTTGGGGTCCAGTTTCACGTCGTCAATGATAGATGGGAGCACTGGGTGATCACCCGACGAAGGCGCCTTCGGTACGTCTCCTTGATACAACCAGAGCGGCTCATCACCCGCGTCACGGCGAATTCTTAAAGGAGGACGAACTGGTCCCACTGTGTAACGTGGCCGCGGAGGTCTGTACGTAGGTCTAATGAATTTCTGGCATGATGACTCAGCGACCAAAAAGACCGCGAGCACAGAAAGTACAAGAATTACTTTACCCATCTTGATTCTTCAATCCCCTTTCTTCGACTGATGTCTGTTAGAATAAAAGTGTAATATTTATATGATTTCTTAAGGAAACTGAGGTGCTTATTCAAGATGTCTGTGTGTATAAGGAAACTGGGAAGAACCTGGTCATTGTTGTTTGTTTGCAAATATTTCCTCATCTGTATGTGTCATTTAGCTGATAGCGCCGTCTGATCGTGTTGAATTGAGTTGCTTATTATTTGTACATTGATAGTTGCAGTTACATGTTATTAGATATTGTTATGTTATTGTAGGTAGGTACTTATGTAGCATAACTGACTCTCGGAAAACGTTTATATGTAGGTTGATAGACTTGTTTACCAACTTAAATATATTATGCTACTAAACTATATACCTGTGTAACTGTGTGCCAATTACGTTAGCCTCATGTAATAGGGCACGTATCTATTGGAATGACGTGTGCCGAGAATTTCTAAATGCTTTGGTAAAACCAATGCGAGAAATTGCATTCAGAGAAATCCAATTCTAGACTAATAATTCACCAATTGTGCTTGGAACTCACAATGTTTGTGAAAATAGGTTTTTAATAATTAATTAATAAATTAATGTAATTAGATTTTTAGGTACAGCAGGCATGTATTTGTTTCTCCGTTATGGATTTAAGACCTAGATACTAATTATACTTACCTACTTAGGTACCAAAGGGGATTTTTATCTACGCATTGTATAACAAATATAAACATAGCATAGCATACAACTGCATCTGTTGATAAAAATTATCGTAACACGGTAATTTCATTTCAAAATGTAATAAGTTTACTGGACTACTTGACGACTAGGTAACCTAATTGTAACATCATGACTTAATTCCCAAAGGGCATGGGCACCAATTACCACATAACAAATTCACCTGGCTTAATTAGGGTTAGATGTTAGGAATTCTTAAATATCCGAAAATCCCCAAAATGTTAGGAATTGAATCAAAGATCCCTTGCTCAGCTACAAAAATTTGCTGGAAGAATACTAAAATTATGTTAGCCATAAAATCAATCACTGATAGTGTGATTATTTTTCTATATTTTATTGTAAATTATTATGTTTTCGGCTTACTCACGTAATTATTTGACGAGGAACTCGCAAAATGCTGCTCATGAATATTCGCCTCTAGCATGGCTTGAAACTAGTCGAGTTCCTCGTCAAATAATTACGTGAGTAAGCCGAAAACATAATAATTTATTTAGTATGTCTCACGAAAGTTATAATAGGTACAAATATTTTATTGTATTGAACAGTCAGTCAGAACAGTTTATTTTTGATAAAGGAAAGTACCCAATTAAGAAGTTTGGGCTAGCTTTATTTGTCAAAAGTCAAAGTCAAAATCATTTATTTGAATTAGACCAGGATGGCACTTTTGAACGTCAAACAACAAAAATTTATAAGTGAAGCTAGTTGCTCATTCCAAGGCGTAGATTCCTATGGAGAAGAACGAGCAAGAAACTCCATAGGTCACTCTTTTTCAATCAGGTTTACAATACAATTCTCTAGTCTAGTTCTATTCTCTACTCAAGTAGGGCTTTGTTAGTTACAATCTGTCCTTTGTCTGCACCTCTCCAGTTTATTTGGCTGTTGTTAGTTTTAGCACATGAGGTGCTAAATAGATTTTGTACTTACTACATACATAGTCCAGGTACAAAACCTAGGCATTTCATACGAAATGCTGTTAATATAAACGACAAGTAAACAAAAGATATGTGTTATATTTAGCATTTCAGTTTAAATTTATTCGGGGGTTTCCTTCTTGAAACGTGATGTTAATATTGCACGTGGTAACTGTGCTATATGGTTCGGTTTATTTTATTTGCGACAGGTACGTTATGCCCGCGACTTCACTGTGTATTAGTGACTTACCTACAGACAGATTTTTAAATACTTTTTGAAGATGTTATATAGCCTATGTTATGAAAAAGCAGCTTACTATGAAATAATATTTTGAATCGGTAATTCGTTTTCGCGTAAAAACATAACAAACATGCATCACACAAATATTATAAATGTAAAATTATCTGTATTTGGATGTTTGTCCGTCAATCACGCTGGACTACTGAACGGTTTTTGATGAAATTTGGTATACAGCCAGGGTATGCTCTGACTTAGGTGATAGAATATTGTTTATCCTGATTAAATACTTCCATGTGATAAAACGAGAATATGCGGGCTAAGCCGCGGGTAAAAGCTAATACCTACATATCTAAATACAAAACCACTAAAGTTTCCGCTAAATAATATTAGCATAAATTGATATTAGGTAGGTACAGTGGTGAGCAAGATACTCCACTACTACCTACTCCAATCTGCAATATTTCCATTGGATTCGAAATTTCGACTATACACCAAAATAATAAAGTTTAAAATACAATTAAAACATTGAAAGAAGCGAATACTCTGACCTGTTTGCCACAGTTCTATAAAACTGTGCATCTCTGCTTATCATGTCGGGGAATAACAGACATGGGTTTTATTTCTAGTTATTCACAACTTATCAGGAAAATTAATTATAACACTGCGTTACACGATTTTGGTACCCACGTAAGTGTTAGCTGGAATGAATAGCTAATGAGTCACAGATTAAATGTTCCAAACATATGTGGTATCTATCACGTCTAGTTTTCAAGGTACATGCCAAATTATTTTTCTATTACCCTCACTTTAGGCGAAAACGAAATAGTTACCATTTTTGATGTGTTGTACTTTCTATTATTTTGTTTTGTTTAGTAGTCATTTTTATTCGATAACGTCGATATATTCGTACATATTTCTTTCGAAATTCAATATGAATACTGGACTAAGTGGTCGTCCCAACTGCTTAAATGCACCAAATAAGTTTTGTTATGTTTGCGGACAGTATATTGTGAAGTCACAAATAAAAAATGTTTCCAAAAAAGTGAGAAGTGCATATTTACTATATTTTGGGCGTGCTATTAATCAAGATAAACCATGGATACCAAAGTTAAAACTCAAAGAAGGAATATTTGTAGGACCACAAATACGCACATTGATGAAAGACCATTTAAATTAAAAATTAAATTTAAATTTTGAGAAAAAGGTTACTGACAAGGAACATGATGCCTGGTTATCGCTGAAAGCAGTTATTAAAGGGTTTTTAGGGAACCACAGGGCCGAAACTGCGAAAAAGCTAGTTGACGACATGTTAGAAGCATATAAAAAGTTGGGTTGCAGAATGTCGTTAAAAATTCGCTTCCTTCATTCTCACTTTTCTTTTTTCCCATCTAATCTTGGTGCAGTTAGTGATGAGCAAGGTGAGAGGTTCCACCAGGATGTAAAGAAGCTTGAAGAACGATTTCAAGGGCGTTGCGACACAACTATGCTAGGCGATTACTGCTGGCGTTTAAAACGAGAAGATCATTCAAAGCACAAAAGAAAAAGTTAAAGTTTTGCGATCTTTTGTGTTAAAACTTTTTATAATGTTTTTTTTTTAACCTTAATGGGAAAATTATACTTAGTTAACGTGAAAAAATCTGGTTGTTTTAACTAATTTTCTTTAAAATATGTTTTAGCATTAAAATTTTTAGTAAAATTTGGCACATTCTTATGGAAGAAAAATGAGACGTGATGAATGGAAATTGTGTATGTATTTTTAATAAACTATAAGTATTCATAAGAAAACATGACATTTCAAAGCGGGTACTCAATTTTTTTTTTCATTTGTAACGCAGTGTAATCAAACGAACTATTTGATCTTTTATCTCATTCTATATTGGACGACCTTTAAGATAATATTCTTGGGGGGAATACCGTTCCCTATTTGTTTTGGGGCAAAGCACCTATAGGATATTAGATATACATAAAATATTACGTGAGGTGCCTACGTGTGTACGGGGTGCATTTATAAACTCAAATATTCACACACACAGTTCAGGAGCAATAATAATGTTAATTGCAAAAAAGAAATTTTGAAAACCTCATATAATTAAGAGCGTACTCCTTTTTAAAAGGCCGGCAATGCACCTGTGACTCCTCTGGTATTTTTTTTTTTAAGGGCGTAAAGCCATCGTATGGCTGCTCCCGCCTGGGTGAGGCGGATGGGAGTGTCAGACTCTTACTGACTAAAAACCACCCCGTTTCTTCTCCTGTACGTCGAGTCGGAGCCCCGGTTACGTTCCGGTTAGGTTCTCCGCGACTCCGAATCGACTCCTCTGGTATTGCGGGTGTCCATGGGCGACGCTGATCGCTTACCATCAGGTGATAAGTCTGCTCGTTTGACTCCAATTCCATAAAAAAAATTGTCCCGTTCGTGAACCGAACGCTCGATTCGTGCAGCTGTGTGTCGCCCAACGCCCATGAACAACTGTGTAGTACCTAGAGAACCAAATGATCTGAAGGAAGACAAACATAGGTATTCTATTTAAGTGCGCTGTTCAAGTACTGATGGTGGCCATTGAAGTGGTTTTAGTGAGGTAAAAATCATCATACACTCCCTTGTCTTTTCCTATAAAGGCGAGGCACCTTTTGAAGTTGGCCCCCGTCATGACTACAAAATGTATACCATACTAGCTTCTTCGCGGTTTCACACGCTCTGCTCAGTCCCTATTGGTCGTAGCGTGACGTTTTATGCATATAGCCATGTTCGATAAATGAGCTACCCAACACAAAAAGAGCTATTCAAATCAGATTTGTAGTTGCGGAGATTAGCGCGTTCAAACAAACAAACAAAAAAACAAACTCTACCGCTTTATACGTATAAAATGTCTGGACTAGTCTACATACAATGATCTGTTAGTTGGAAGTCAACATATTTTAATTAATGTAATAATGTAATAATTTAATTATTTAGTAATATTGATAATGTATTTTATGTAATTTATATTATACCTATATATATACGGATATATGTATGTATTTACAGTTATGCATAGTCATGAATTTATTTATATAGATTTTTCTGTGTCACATAAACCATAATACCTATTACACCTACTGTTGCACATCTCTGCATCACCCCATGGTTGACTGTTAGAGAATGCCACCCGGCATTAAGTCCGCCATCGTATGTTTGTTATACAGAAGTGTTAATAAAATAAATAATATTGTTAACGAGTTAATATTCTGCTAACTTATTATCGCACAAATAAAAACAGACAACTAGATATAGTATGTACAATCTTACCTATCGCTAGCTACGGGGAATAACAAAGTTACATCACAAAGAAATAAAAAACCAGAATGATGGAGTCATACTTCGCTTATATTTACAGTGTGAACAATAAACTTAATAGTTAACTTATATCACTTGATACTAATAAATCTAACTAATTATTAGTTGATATTTGTCTTGATAGATGTGATCGGGAACGTGAGGAGCCCGGGCGGCGGCTCCGGCGGGAGGAAGTTTGGTAATGATACGCTGGGGTCTGTGGACAAACAAATCATCATTATCATCATCAACAGTCTATAAGTGCCCATTGCTGACCAAATGCCTCTTCTCACACGGAGAAGGTTTGAGTATTAATCACCACGGTTGCTAAATGCGGTTTAGCGATTTCAAACTTATAATTAGAAATTATAAGCTTAGGTTTCCTCACGATGTTTTCCATTACCGTTTGTCAGTGGTGTCTAGATAATCTTAGACAGGACAAACAAATAATATTGTCAAAAATACGTTTTTTATCTATAGATATTAGAGAATAGATAATTTCTGTAGTCAAAAAATTGACAATTAGACTTAATTTAAAATGATTGACAGGCATAATCTTGCATTTTTTTGAACACATCAAAGAAATCGTAACTTATTATGAAAAAATTAGACCTAATATTATAATAGGAACTTTTGTATGGATCCTGTGCTCCTGGCAGACCACAGCCAGTCAAATGTTTTAATGTGTGTTAGCTAATTGCTGATTAATGGCTAACGGCTGTACTGAAACGAAACAGTTTATGTTATGAATTGTGGTGAAATATACAGTCAAGGACATAATAGGATGTATTTCTAAAATTTATTGTTTATTATCAGGCTTTTTTTAAGAGGGGAAAATCATCGAATGACTGCTCCCGCCTGGGTGAAGCAGGAGGGAGTGTCAGACTCTTCTGACTAAAAACCACCCAGTTCCTTCTCCTGCACGTCGAGCCGGAGCCCCGGTAACCCGTTAAGTTCTCCGCGACTGGTTATCAGGCTAGCACCCAAACGAATTTGATAATTATCAAAGTCAAAGCCAAAAACATTCATTTTAATTAACACAAATGCATTTTTGAACGACAAACAATTTATATTTGTTTAAAAAACAGTCTAGTCTGTTTAAAAATAGTTTATTGGTCATCCCTCTAGTTAAGGTATTTGCTCATTCCAAGGTGTAGATCCCTATGGAGAAGAACAAGCAAGAAACTCCAGAAGTTAATCTTTTTCATTCAGATTCGTAGCACAGGATCGTTTTAACCCTTTGAGTACCGTCATTATAGACACAATTAAAGAACAATAGGTTGCGGTCACCGGTGTCCTCGCGGTGTTTGACAGTTTAAGTTTGCTTAATGAAGGATTAATTTGAAATAAATGCTTTGACTTTCACTGATTTATAATCTCTTTTGACATTTTAGTAAACTCACCTAATTTCGAAGGCATAGGGAATGGTGCTGACATCATAGGCTTGACGCCTGGTTGCTGCAACATTTGTGGAGGTTGCTGCAACAGTTGCGGCGGTTGCTGTAACATTTGCGGCGGCTGTTGCAACATATTAGGAGGCTGTTGCAACAACTGAGGCGGTTGCTGTAACATGTTCGGAGGTTGTTGCAACATGTTAGGCGGTTGTTGCATCATGTTTGGAGCTTGTTGCATCATGGGAGGTTGCATCATGTTTTGTTGCTGTAACATGGGTGCTTGTATCATCATTTGCATGGCTAGTCGTATGTTGGGTGGCGGGGAGCCGGGCGGTGGGGGTGGCGGGGGGAGGGCGTCCCATAGAGGCACGTGGTCTATGTGAGTCGCTGGACAAGGCCAGGCGCAACCGAAGCGACGTGGCTTCTTTTTCTGTAAACAAAATAAACGTTTTATAACTTACTATACAAGCTTATTGCATTGTAGGACTAAAAATATAGAATAGTATTTTTCCCTTTATTGCACTGGTGTCATCTTATTTATACTTTAATTTTGTTCATCTCAATGGGAGTGACTCAAAAACTCTTAAGCAGCTTATCAAAATAAATTAAATCATTTTCAAATTCAACTGTCTTTAGAACATGAATTAACAATTACAATTAGTTACAACTAAATCTAACTAACAAGACTGCACGGTTAGCGCGGTGGCTGGGCAACTGGCTGCCGCGCAACGTGGCGCGGGTTCGATTCCCGCACGGAACAACTCTTTGTGTAATCCACAGATTGTTGTTCCTGGTTTGGGTGGCATGTGTATGTGACTTGTGTTTGTAAACGCACCCACGACACAGGAGAAAATCCAAGTGTGGGGCAACGCTTTTCAAAATAAAAAAAAAATTGAATCTAATTCCGATAAATAGATAAATCTAGAACACAGATGGCAAACATTACAAGCATTGAAAGCAACAAAAACTTGCAAATAGATTAGAAATCAAATAATACACGAGGAACTGGTACTTAAATGTTTCTAACTCTAGATCTGATGATGATCATGGATCTACTGACCTTCCTAACCGGCGGTTCTTCGACGTCGGAGTCTTGGCCGGGCTTGTATCCATCCGCGAAGCTCACTCGTTTAGCTCCACGGTTTTCCGCTTTACTGAAATTATCCAACACATCATCCTTAGTTATATTATAAATTGGAAAGTGAGTTAGTTTGTTTGTTTGTTCCACTTTAACGCCGTAACTACTAAACCGATTGCTTTGAAATTTTGCAGACGTAAAGTTAGAAGTCGGGATTAATAATAGGGTACTTTTTATCCCTGAAAAATTTGATATTCCCGAGGGAAAACCAAAGTATTGGTATAGATGGCGCTGTGTGTATTGGTATAAATATGTCACATTGGCTTTTTATCCTTTTGTGACGCGAGCGAAGCCGCAGGTAAAAGCTAGTATATTATAAGTTAGATGTAACGTCACGCCGTTGTCTCATGGAGACAGGCAAAAGGCTTGAATGCCGTTTTAATCTAGATGTATTGGTCCATCAGTTGGCCACCATGGTCATTTCAATTGGTCCATGAATACACAGATGTAGCATATAGCAAGTATTCAGATGATAGAAATTGCTTTTTATCAGATCATAGTTTATTTACCACATTATTGATATAAAATGTATCAAAACATACAGTTACAGTAACTCGATTAGTTTCAAGCCATGCTAGAGGCTCATATTCATGAGCAGCATAAAAATTAATTATTATTTCATAACATAATAATTAATTTAGTATATTTGACGAACTTTTAATATATCACTGTGTATTGCTGTGTCTATTGGTTTATTTGACTACTACCCGTCTTGAGCATTATAATAGTTGCAATAATGACTTTCTCTTGATTTTATTATTAAAATTTAATTTATTCATTATTAATCTCTATCTATTCTTACGCTATTTAGTAGTAGTTAAGGGTAATTATGGCTACGCTTAAAATCTATTACCAGAATGTGCGTGGTTTGCGTACGAAAACAAACATAGTGTTTCGCGGAGTGTGTCTCAGTTCCTACGATATAATTATATTTACGGAAACTTGGTTAGACGACGGTTTCAACAGTAGTGAATTATTCGACGGACGTTATCTTGTTTGGAGACGTGATCGTGATTACTCCCGAACCGGTCAGTTGCGTGGTGGAGGTGTTCTGATAGCTGTTAAACGAGAACTTACAATAGTCGAGAGGTTGGATTGGCGAAGTTCTGCGGAGGATATTTGGCTATCCTTATTTCTTAAAAAGTCAAAACCACAGGTTAGTTACAATTTGCATATTTGTGCGCTTTATTTATGCAAGGAGAATCTAGGTAATTCATACAGTACCCAGTTACGTAATTTCACGGATAGTTTTAACAACTTAATTCTAGCTCATCCACTGGACAAGTTCTTGCTAGTGGGTGATTTCAATTTCGGAAATGATGTTGAGTGGTGTAATGGGGACATGGCAGTGAATGGGGAATTAATACCTCAAAATATTTCTTCTCAGCATGTTACTCATTTCTTTGATACATTGCAAACTTTCAATATGTCAGTATAATGGTGAACGGAATGTCAACAGTAGAATACTCGACCTTGTATTTTGTAACGACACTGTAACAGTCTCGGAAAGTGTGGATCCTCTTGCTCTGCCTCTTGATTCTCATCACAAGCCTTTAATTGTTCTGACAAAATTTGTCGAAATTCATACACTTGTCGATAAACCTAAGCAAAGTTACATTTTCTCAAAGGGTAATTACGACGCCATAAAATCTGAACTTGATCTAATTAACTGGTCTCAGTTTCTATCGTCAGTAAGCTTAGAAGATGCGGTCACTAAATTTTATAATAAATTGTATGAGCTTGGGGATGTACACGTACCTGTAAAATCCGTAAAACAATCCTCTTATCCTACTTGGTATACCCCAGCACTAGTAAAAATGATTAGAGAAAAACATAAACATCATAAGAAATATAAGAAATACAATAATATATCTGATTATCATTCTTTTTCATTATTACGTAGCAGAATTATTGAGATGGAAAACACATGTTATGAAAAATATATAACTAATATTGAGACTTCAATTGTAAAAAATCCAAAAGCTTTTGGACGTTTGTTAAAAGCAAGCGAAGGGCTGGGTCATTCCCTAGTGAGATGTACTACCATGAGACCTCTGTAAACGCAGGACAAGATATTAGCGACCTTTTCGCTGGCTATTTCCAGTCTACCTTTTTAGAACCCGAAACAACAACGGCTGATGATGAGGGTACTTCTGGTGGGCGATGTAGTAATACTGCTATGTCTGTCAGCACAGTCGACGTAAACCACCCACGTGTCTTGAAGCTGCTGAAGTCCTTGGACCTTACCAAATCAGGTGGACCAGATCTAATACCACCGTTGTTCATTGTTAATTGTGCTGATAGCCTTGCTAAACCCATAACTATCCTATTCAAGCGGTCTCTTTCCGAAGGTAAAGTTCCAAAGATCTGGAAGTCTGCCTTCGTCACTCCCGTTTTCAAAAAAGGGGATAAATCAAACGTTGAAAAGTACCGTCCCATTTCTAAAATCTGCCTCTTTTCTAAAGTTCTGGAACGTATAGTTTATACAGATGTCTACGCGGCTTTTAAGACTATTCTTGGTGATGAACAACACGGTTTTATTAGGAACCGCTCGACTACGTCTAACTTACTTCTGTCACAGGAATTTATTACGAACGGCATGGCGCAGCGTCAAGTTGACGTAATTTATACGGACTACAGCAAATGCTTTGACCGTATTGATCATCGCATGCTACTGGAAAAGTTGTTTCTCGCCGGAATTCACGGAGACTTGTACCGATGGTTCTCATCCTATATAGAGAACAGAACGCAGGCCGTCGTGCTTCATGGCTACACCTCAGGTTGGAGCTCTGTCCCTTCAGGAGTGTCCCAAGGTTCCATTCTGGGTCCTTTGTTATTCATATTGTTCATTACAGATATCAAACAATGCTTTCATCATTCGTATATTCTTCTCTATGCTGATGACATGAAAATTCACAAAGTTGTAAGAGACATGTCTGATGCATATCGAATGCAAGAGGACCTGCACAGATTTGAGATGTATTGCAAACGTAACAAACTCCAATTAAATGTCACTAAGTGTTTCGTCCTAACATTCTCACGACGTACGTCTTTGATCAATTTTAATTATGTCATCAACTCGGAAGTGATTAGCAGGCTGAATAGCATAAAAGATTTGGGAGTGATCGTAGACAACAAGCTTCTATTTGATCAACATGTGAATAATATGGTAACAAAGGCATCCAAGGCTCTAGGATTTATACTCCGCACTACGGCCTGTTTCCGATCTCTTAAACCGGTAAAAATTTTGTATTGCTCTTTCGTACGTAGCCACTTAGAATACGCATCACAGGTTTGGAACCCGCAGTATGAGGTTTATAAGTCCCGTATTGAAGGCGTCCAAAGAAAATTTCTTCGTTACCTTGATTATAGAGCACAGCAATACTCAGTTGACTACAACCACCGCTGTAAACGGTACCACTTCCTTCTTCTGGACATGAGGCGTCATATTGGAGACATAACTATGCTTATGCGTATCGCAAATGGCCATATTGACTGTCCTGAGCTTGTTGCAAAATTAGCATTGCGCACGAACCTAATGGGATTACGTCAGCGACCTATATTAAGTGTACCCTTCACATCGACTAACTATATGAAAAATGTTTTTTCTATAAGGAGTGCACTTGAATTTAATAGACTGTCTAAGGAATTTGACATCGACTTATTCTGCACCAGTGTAGCATCCTTGCGACATCAAATCGCACAAAACTTCTTCGATGGTTAACTTCTTTGTCTAATTATTCTTCTAGCAATTGATATTTGTTAGTAATTAATTGTCTTCTGTACTCTTTTTTATGCCTTTCTATTTTTTCTTTTTATCTATATGTGGAGGCTTGTAATTAGCAATTTGTCAATACTATACTCTTATAAAATCATTTTCAATGTATTAGTCTGTAAGCCTTCTTAAAATAAATAAATAAATAAATATAATCGGGGACGTTGATAAAAAGGCGGAAACAGTCTTTTGAAACCATTGTTTCAAGAGACTACGCCACTGAGTAGCCAGGTACCACAATCGTTATTGTAGCTCCTGGCTACTATAGACTTACACGCAGAACATAAACACATTGACACGAAGGACATCTAACAATATCTTAAGTCTGGTAATGTGGTGAAGCTACTGACATTTTTGTCCTTTAATCATTTCTAAGTGAAAAGTCCTTTATTATAGTATAATAGCATAACATCACGCCTTTTTATCCCCGAAGGGATAGGCAGAGGTGCACATTTCGGCACTTAATGTCACTGTACAATGTAACACCCACTTTTCACTATTTATATTATGAGTCCCAGGTGGTGAGCCTATTGCCTTATACCGGGCGCATTTCCAGACTCCGTGCTACTACTAAGATTTAAAAAAAGCATTAATACTTTGCCCGACTCGGGAATCGAAACCGAAACCCCTTACCCGGCAATCGCACTTGCGACCACTCGGCCAACGAGGCAGTATAATAGCATTTCTGAAAAATTTATGAATTAATTCTTATTTTGACCACTTATTATAGTATAGAGTCAAGAAGATATCGCTTTATCGATCGATAGAAGCACCCTTGTGCCATATTTATTTACTATTTTTTTTAATTATAATGTAATGTACTTATCGTGTCTGTCTTTCTACTTAGTAATTAGGAATAAATACTCACGTGACTAAGATTCCTTTCTCCGGGCCGTCTTTATCTCCGTCCTCTTCAGCTTCCTTAGCCACTTCGCCGAGCACTGTGCACAAAAACATACATTAGGTGCAATTATTCAAATATTCATTACAATATTAATCCACAAAATGAAGCTCTAAAATGCGCCGATATCCCTATCTTTTTTGTACTGATTTTTAACCGACTTAAAAAAAGATTTGGATGTGTGTATGTATGTTTGTGCGCTATTATCTCGCGATTGGCTGAACCGATTTTGAGTAAAGTGCGGTTTTCAGTAAAGTGTGTGTTACACTTAGGATAAGGTTTTAGTATATTAAATAACTGACTTCAAAGAAGAGGTGGTTGAAGTCGGTTTTTTAAACGTAATTTGTAAATAATTTTTTTTTTTGAAACGTTTCAAAGAGACAAAACGAAATTGGGGAAATTGAGATTTACAACTGGTCCACTGTTCGGGTTGGTGATTTAAAAAAAATAACAAATATTTTCTAACCTGTATTTCTCAAAGCTTGATCTATCCTATCATCTAGGCTGCTTTTGTGTTTAATAGGTTCGTTGCTCTCTTCAGCGGGTTGGGGTTCGATGTCCGTGTTGAAACAGTCTCCGTACTGCAGGCGGTCGGACGCACCGTACATGTCTTCGTAGGCTTCATCGTAGCTACTACAAAAAACAAAATAGGACGTAAATGACACAAATATATAAGATCTGATCTTCGACATACCAAAATAACGAGACGAATTCCCAAAGATGACACCCAAAATCCTGATTGAAATCGATTTTTGTCAATAATACGGTAGTTTCCTAATTTTTATTTTAATGTCCGTCTGGTAGATTATTTTAAAACATTAGTGACGTATTTTTTGTTTACTCACAAAATTAAATACTTTCGACGATATATTTATTTGAAATGTCGTGTGACGTCACAGCGTGTCATATTTTGTAGCACGTTATGACGTAACGACCTCCCACTCCTAAACCTAACTCCATTTTATTTAAGTATACTAACTTTATACGAGAAAATAATAAATACGCGTCTAATATTTTTTCATTATCTAACTGACGGACTAATTAGATTTTTAATTTTCTAACCCTGGCAACTACCCTATTCTATATACTTTCGGTTAAAAATTAAGAACAGTCAAGTGGTTTTGGATCGGTAATTAAAATCGCAAGTAAATGACTGGCTACGTGGATCGGCGCCGTCGCACCGCGTGGCTTGCTCAGTACATTTCTATGTGTTTGTTTCAGTCGCTAGACGCCTCGCCCATCGCATTGCGCTATGGCCAGGCTGATAGTCGTCTACAAAAGAGTATATGGCTCACCTAATATTAAGCATCAGTGTCATCCAAAATGCATTGTTCGCCTTTTAACCACACTATTATTGCTATTAAATATCATTTGCAACATACCCTGAACTGTTATTCTCGCTTCTATTAGCAATAGTCTGTATCTGATAGATTGGCTCTTCATTCCGCGGGAGGTAGTCGTCCCCACCTGTTAGCACTATGTTCACCTGCCCTGGTTTTAAGCCTGCAACATAGAAAGTAAGTCATGACTGCACGGTTGGCGCGGTGGCTGGGCAACTGGCTGCCACGCAACGTGTCGCGCGTTCGATTCCCGCACGGAACAACTCTTTGTGTGATCCACAGATTGTTGTTCCGGGTCTGGTGTCATCAACATCAACAGCCTTTAAATGCCCACTGCTGAGCAAAGCCTCTTCTCACACGGAGAAGGTTTGAGCATTAATCACCACGCTTGCTCAATGCGGGTTGGCGATTACAAACTTATAATTAGAAATTTATAAGGCCAGGTTTCCTCACGATGTTTTCCTTCACCGTTTGTCAGTGGTGTCTGAATAATCTTAGAAAGTACATGTAACTCGGAAAAAGTCACATTGGTACTTGCCGTTGGTAGGTTTCGAACCCGCACCCTCATGCATGAGAAGCGGGCGTCTTAAACCTCCGGGCCTCCACGACCGGTCTGGTGTCATATGTATGTGATATTGTACGTTTGTAAACGCACCTACGACACAGGAGAAAATTCTAGTGTCGGGCAAAGTTTTGTTATAAAAAAAAGAGTCAAAGTCAAAGCATTTATTTCAATTAAACCATAATTTGGTACTTTTAAAACGTCAACAAATACAAAATAAATAATAGTCTGTCAGTCAGACCGTCAGTGAAGCTAGGTGAAGCTAAGTGCTCATTCCGAAATGTAGATTCGAATGGAGAAAACTCAATTCGTTATTCTTTTAAAAAAGTATGCTCTACAATGTCTCTGATACATATTAACAATACACGAAGAAACGATATTACTATTTTTGGAAAAGTTGTAGTTTAGCAGCCTCGATAAGCGAGAATATCTCGAAAATTCCTATAAAATCGGCGAACAAACAGAAATTGTAATCCCTATATACTTATTGCAGGATAAAACTTACTGTAAAATAAAATACTCACCCCATCTAGAAGGTCGTTGGTTGTTACTAGGTACAGGAGTACTGGGTTCGTCTCCCGCGCGCCAGTCACATTTGATTTCACCTCGCGACCGTGCTCGAACCACTGTCTCTATGCGTTGTGATGCGAAGAACGGATCTTCACCGGTTGATGGGGTCGACTGGGGTCAAATATTTAGAAGTTAATATTTAGACACACATAACATCACGCCTTTTATCCCCGAAGGGGTAGGCAGAGGTGCACATGATGCCACTGTACAATGTGACACCCACTTTTCACTATTTATGTTATGAGTCTCATGTAATAGGGGGTGAGCCTATTGCCATATACCGAGAATAATTCCAGACTCCGTGCTACCACTGAGATTTTTCTTACAAACCCTGTAAGACTGCCCGACCCGGGAATCGAACCCGAGACACCTTGCCCGGCAGTCACATTCGCGACCACTCGGCCAATGAGGCAGTTAATATTTAGAAAACATAATATTTATAAGTTTTAACAAATTAATTATTCACATCAACAGCCTATAAGTGGCTACTGTTGAGCAAAGGCCTAGTCTTGCATTGAGACGGCTTGAGAGCATTAATCACCATGCTTGCTCAAGGCAGATTTGGTTGGTTAAGTTAGATATCACCGTTTCACGTGTAAAAAAGTCCTGCTTTAGCAGCAATGTGATCAGGCTCGACTGGTGTGATACTACATCCTCACAATAAACAAGCGTGAAATAGTCAAAGCGCTGTGTTTCGTGTAAGTGAGGTTACCGGAGACCCAATACCTTTACAGATCGGTAACGCACTTGTAACTTTTCTGGTTTTACAGGTGTCCAAGGGCAGCATCGATTGCTTACCATCAGGTGATCTGTCAGCTTGTTTGCCCTATTCCATAAAGAAAAAAAGGTTTTTTTAAACCGGTAAACGAACAGATGGATCGATATCGATAAACGAACAGATAGATTGATATCGATGGCGAAATCGATAGCGTACTATCAGGTATAGTACGCTATCGATTTCGCCCCACCTGGAACACCAGACGCGTTAGGAATTTTGGGGATTAGGAATTAGGATTGTTGGGATTTAGGAATTGGAGAGATTGGGGAAGGGAGAGAGGGTAATTGGGTCTCAAGTCTCACTCACACGACGTAACACAACGTTAGCGTTGTTTCACGTCGGCTTTCTGTAAGGCCGTGGTATCACTCCGGTCGAGCCGGCCCATTCGTGCCGAAGCATGACTCTCCTATGCTTGATGGGCTACAGTTTTTCCTATATCATAAAAAATCTCCTATCAACATACCTGCTTAGCGACATCGCTTTGATACGCCATAGCCAACTGTTCATACATCTCATAGTTCCCTTGCTCATACTCCTGGAATTTATCCTCTTCATCCTTTTGGTAATGCTGACTGGCATTGATGACGTCATTGAAACTATAATTGGAGTTCTGTGATGACGGTCGAAGATGGCTGTCGTCCTTTTCATATGGAACATCTTTGCTGGTCGTGGATTCTTGAGAAGATTGGGAGAGGTTGGACTCTTCGAGAAGCGGTGGGTCTACCTGTGGTTGGAGCGGTTCTTGGCTTTCTTGAGATTCCTGTTTTTGACATTTTATTGGTTTAATTTTGACTAGGCTAAAGCAATATTGAAATACTATTCATGTTTCAATTTATACTTAAATATAGCATTATTTTTAACAGTAATATTAGTAAAAGAGATGTTTTTGAAATCTTCTTATCTGTAACTAGCGACCCGCCCCGGCTTCGCACGGGTGCAGTTAGAAACCTCTGAATTTATTTGTGTTTCTGTTATGCATATAAACCTTCCATAAGAATCACTTTATCTATTAAAACAAACCGCATCAAAAACCCGTTGCGTAGTTTTAAAGATCTAAGCATACATAGGGACAGACAGACGGCGGATAGCAACTTTGTTTTATACTATGTAGTGATGTACTTGGGTAGCCAATCGAAGTCGTTTTCATGCTTGTATTTAATATTTACATATTTGGTATAAACGATTTTATTATTTTATACGAAAATGTTAAATGAAGATTCAATATATAATTATGGCAACCATTGTTTGGTTGCTGACAGATTCTTGGGTGAATTGAAATTTTGCTTATTTTATTGTTTGTGTCTAAAGATTTGCATTTTCAGATTCATCGAAAAAAATCTAGATAACAATTATAGATTTTTATACTCAAAGTATGGATATTCAAGCTGACTTTCCAAAACCATATGAATTAACTGAGACAATATAATATTAGTATAGCAAGCATGCACATAAAGTTTTAGTATTATTTTAATAATGAAATACGTACTTTATCCGGAGGCGACGGTGATGTATCGGGTTTAGTAGGGTCGTATAAGTCTGTCGGGGTTGGGGTACTAGGTTCGATTATCTCCTGAGGAATGATTATGATTTTATTAGTGATGATTCCTTGTTAATAATGAATGATGAATGAATATTAGTTTGTGTCGCAAAAACCACAACAAACACGTATTTACTCTTAAAGTTTGTATACAAGGGTAGAGTATTCCACAAAACCTTCATCTTTTTAAAAAAAAAAAATATCCGACTTGGCAATCGAACCCAAATCGTTCAGTTGGCATTTACACGTGGCGGCAAAATGATACAATAAAAAAAATTGCAAAAACAGATTACGGAACCTATAAATTGTGATTGGAGGCCCCCTTTAAGCAAGATATGCCTGTGTTAAGAAACTCTGTGATTTAACAACAACATTAAAACAAAAAGCATGCAAGACATGAATTAATTAGTTATTTATTAATTTTCCTTATGATATAATCAAATATGGTGCAGAAGAAATGACAATGAATGATATAAGATGACCTTTATGAAAAAATCATTACATCGACCTTAAATAACTTAAGACAGAAAGTCAAGAAAGTACAATAATTACTTAAACCCATAAACCTTCTAATATAATGATAAAAAAATACATACTTCATGTGTCTGTGTCGTGTCCGTGTCTTTGTCAGCGATCTGTTCTGTGTGTATTCTCTCTGTTTGTTTTGGCGCGGGCAACGGGATCTCCTAAACATATACTTTTAAATATTCGTTCAAAGAAAACTAGGTTTTAATCGCGACATTTTGCAAGTAAAAGGATCTGATTTTTGTTATTTCACTTTGAGTTTTGAGAATTAACTAAACTAAGCAATTTTTTACACTTCCTAAAGAAACCTTTTTTTATTTTTTTCCTACTGCCTCCCAAAACCGCTGCAACTCCTGTAAGCCAGGATCTACAGTAGATACAACCATGAAAACACCGGAACACTGAAGTCCGGCGCGTACCAGGGACATGAGTAACTGTTTTCGAACCCGCAACGAATTGAAGAGAAACCAAAGAAACCTTATCGAAAATTATTAAATATATATACATTTTATATTTATCAGTCACTTAATCACTATTATTTTTATAATATTTATTATTTTACTAGGTGACCCGGAAACTTTTTAATATCATCTTTTAAACCTTCCCTGGAATATCAGGAACATTTTAAGACCAATATTAGCCAATTCGGTTTAGCTATTCTAAAGTTTTAGTGAGACTAACGAACGGAAATTAATTTTTATTTATATACATAAATTGCATATACGTATCTGCAGGTTGAGTAAAATATTCAAAATCCTTAATGAGTTCTACTGATAAAAACTATTATAAAATTCTTACAGTTTTTTTTTTATTTTTCGAGGATAGCAACACAAGGACGCATTTTAAAGGAACTTTAAGAGATAAATATTATGTTTTAATTAACAATTACGTAATGTTATTCATAAGAATTTTGTTTCAAGTTAAACACCAAATTAGATGCTTGTTATTTCACCAAAGAGTAGGCAGAAATGAAATGATTTCCAGTTCCCATTGTAACCAAACAATAAACACACATATCCCACAATTAATTTTAAAAAAACATAGAAACTCAAAGACAGAAATGATTACGACTTGTGATTGATGACTATGATCACATACAGACAACAAAAGCCCCAAAAAAAGGGTTAAATATACTTCAATAATAGGGTAGTTTCCTAAATTTTATTTTATTGTCCGTCTGGTACATTAATTTAAAACACTAGACACGTATTTTTTTTATTTTCCCACAAAATTAAATACCTTCGGTGATATATTAATTTGATATATCATATGACGTCACAGAGTGTCACATTTCGTAGCACGTTATGACGTAACAACCTCCCACTCTTAAACTTAGCGCCATTTTATCTAAGTATTGCAACTAAATACGAGGAAATAAAAAAATACGTGTCTAATATTTTTTCATTATCTAATTGACAGACTAATTAGATTTTTAATTTTGATATCCTGGAAACTACCCAATTAATGAATTATGAAACTATTACGAAACCGACAATTTCTACAAAAGAGAATATCAAAAACTAACCTGGAAAGAGATCTCTTCCTTGATCTCATGTACTTCAGTCACCTCAGGTGCAACAGGTTCGACGACCGAGTCAGATTCCGTCGCGAACTCCTTCTCCTCCAATTCTATGTCCGTCATTTTAACCACTTCTTGTCTAGTCGTTTCTTCTACTTCTTTTTTAATATGTATATTATTACCTACAAAATCATTTTGTAACTCTTTCACATTGATTATTTCTCTTGGTTTCTGTCTTCTTGGAGAGAAGACTAAAGTTTGTTTCTTCTCGTCATCCGTCAGTCTCTCTGTTTTGATATTATTTAGTATATTAACGTCGAATAATTCTTCGCTTTGAGTGGACTCCGAAGAAGACTTTTTCCGTTTCTTCTTTTTAAGTTCTGCATTTTTCTTCTTCTTCTTTTTCTTCTCCGCTTCGGAGTCCGTGTCTGATGAGCTACTGGATGTTGTAGAGGATGATGAACTGCTAGAAGATTTAGCTTTCGCCTTTTTCTTTTTCTGAGCTTTCTTTTTCTTTTGTAGTTTCTTCCTTTTCAATTTCTTTTCTTTTTTCTTGTTTTCTGTGGGAAGATTTGGGTGTGAGGAGAATGTAACTTTCATTGTATGAATAATATGGTTAGGGAAACATCATGTCATAAGTGTACCATAACACACCATTTTAAATAGAACAGCTATTATGTAGATGGTTGCTAATTATAATTTCAAATAAAACTTATCCATATTACTTGATTTAGACTGAAAGTACATCAAACAGGACCAACCATTCAAATTGGTTTTCATTACATTATTGGCCGGCTTTAGAGTAGTATTGGTAAGCAATCAGTGTCATGGATGGCATCACCAGAGGAGATACAAGTGCGTCTTGAGAGGAAGGAGAAAGATTCAAAGATTTACCTTTTTCTTCATCCTCATCTTCTGACTCGTTCTTCTTCTTTTTCTTTTGTTTTTCTTTTAACTTCTTTAAATACTTCTTGCTTAGCCGGCGACGTTTCGCTAATTTTGTTTTTGCCTTTGAGCTATCCTGTAATTTTAAGAATTTAATGTTAGCCTCATCGTTAGCGGGTTACTGGAGCTCTGGCTCGACGTGCAGGAGAAGGAACGGGGTGGTTTTTAGTCAGTAAGAGTCTGACACTCCCTCCCGCCTCACCCAGGCGGGAGCAGTCATTCGATGATTTACCCGTTAATAGAAAGATCACAAATGCGAATGCCTAGAAAGAGGTGGCGGATTCGGTTCCCGGTTGGGCTACATAATATTAAAGTTCGGTCGCCGTAACATGAAACCTGTAAATATGTCTGGTAATTAACCTTACACTCTATTATATTGGACTTTCTATTATATAACTTGATTGGTAAAAGTGGGTATAGAAAGTATAAGTAGATTATACCTTCTGCTTCTTCTTTATGGATTTCTTTTTCTTCTTTGTAGCTTCATCACTCTCTGATAGTGAAGATGAGTGCTTTCTCTTGCGTATTTTCTTATCTTTAATCTTTTTACTGTTGAAAATGGAACATAATAAATTATATTACTTTGGATTTCACTATTAGGGCTCGTACACAAAACTGTGATGCGAATTTGCATCGCAGAACATTACGACACGAATTGCTGCGATGTGATTTCGTGCGACAAGCCGTCTCCCAGGGTGACCATTCCTTCGACGACCGTCAACCGCACTAAACGTATTTTAAATTGAAAACTAGATCGAGACATGGATCGTAAAAAAAAGTGTGCACTTTTGTTATTGCTTAGGAGATACAGGAAAAGGAAACAAAGAAGATTTTGAGAAAATTTTGATGCGATGCGAATCAATTCGCAAGTCCTTACGATGCGTAGATCCGAGCTCGCACATTTTTGCGATGCGACGTCGCATCGCATCAAAATTTTTGTGTACGAGCCCTTATTGACCATAATCTTCAGATAAAGATCATTTTTGACAATAATTCTATGGAGTGTCCGTCCATATATTTTATTAATTTCGGCCATTACTGTCATGTTAGCATTCTAACTACATTCTATTTTAAACTTTCTTAAATCTTACAATCAATTTATAGTTTAAAAGCGAAACTTAGAAATTCAACAACGCTACACTGTATTATTGGATTTTGAAAAAAAAAAAACAAATTTTCTAAAAAAATCATAATTTTCATCTTAAACTCACCTCTTTTCCACCTCCTCCTCAATATCAGACTCCTGACTCCATCCTTCACTACTCAACTTCATCTTCTTAGCTTTTTTCTTATCTTCTGCGTCGCCTTCTTTATCTTCTGCCTTCTTCTTTCTATTCTCCTGTCTGACTGGCGTGGTACTTCTGGGAGTACCAGCTTTGGACTCAGCTACGTCTGGCCAAACAGCTTCCATGAACCTGGTGATGGAATTTGATGACGTAATCATATTGTTTGGTACTGTGTAAACCTGGAACATGTCTACGTGTGTTCGCAAGCACTAAGAAAGAATATATGGTGAAATATTTTAACCATAGCTTCATGCGTAAGAAATTTCGAGCGAAAACACTACCATTTCAATATAACTGGCAAAAAGGATAGAAAGAACTTGCAATATACTTTATAAAAATAACAAATAATAAACCAATAATAATAATAAATAAGAAATATCCAAAAACAGAGTCAATAGGTGATATAATAGTTGCTACACTAACTATAATACAGTTGTAACCGGACCGCTACTGAAAAACGCAGACAAGTGATGGTAAAAAACTAGTTTAATGTTCACAAAGTTTAATGGAATTAATAACAACTTTTAGTTAAGTTCTTGATGTTTTGTTTATTACATGAGAAAACAATTTCTTTTTGTCAGCGTTTTGGGAGCGGTCCATTTACACACTGTATAGCTATGTAAAGCACGAAGCATGCTAGCCTAAAGGTACTGCTACACATGCTAATTTCAAGCACAAAATAACTCTACAATTAAGCACTTATAGTAGCATGTATGTCGAAATGTTACACTAAATTAGCATGCTCATTTCGGGCATGCTTACATATCGACATTCGACTTTTAATCATTTTTGAGCATGCTTAATATAACATGCTATTTTAGCATGCTATTTTAGCGCATGTGCAATAGTATCTTAAGCACATCAGCACTACTACAAACTTGTCCAACTTTCCCCCCATCACCACACAAAAGAGGACATACGATAAGAAAAGAATAAAAGAAATAAGATCCTCACCTACTGCTGACATACCTCTGATACTCTCTATCCAGGTATACCTCCTCGCTTCTTTGAGGAGTGCTTGACCTCCTCTTGTCCTGCAAATCAAATCAAATCCAATAACTTTAACAGGACATCCAATCTACCACGACAAAACTTGCATCTGAGCACAGTAATATAAAGAGTCAGCTAACACATTATCAACAGCCTATAAATGTCCACTGCTGAGCAAAGCCTCTTCTCACGCAGAGAAGATTTGAGCATTAATCACCACGCTTATATTAATAAAAAAGTATATTAGATAATAATAAATGTTCACACCTTGACAAGAGGAGTTTCGTTCTGACTGTCATCTGCCTCCCAATCGCTCGCTGGGACTATGGGAGTGAGGGCGTTCGATTCTGAGAGGCAGTTCGCGAAACGTGGATACCAGGTTCGCGATTTAGGTAGCTCAACTTCTGGTATTCTGTGAGAATTGGTAAAATTTTGTTATACAATTTTGAATGGTAAGTTTTGCTAATAATAAAATAGGGTGATTGCCAGGATATTAAAATTAAAAATCGTATTAGTCCATCAGTTGGATAATGACAAAATATTAGACACGTATTTTTTTTATTTTTCTCGTATAAAGTTACAATATACTTAGATAAAATGGCGTCAAGTTTAAGAGTGTGACGTCACAACGTGCTACAAAATTTAAACGATATTTGAAAATAATATATCGTCGAAAGTATTTAATTTTGTGAAAAGAAAAAATACGTGTCTAATGTTTAAATTAATCTGCCAGACGAACATTAAAATAAAAATGAGGAAATTGCCCTATTATCTTTGGACAAGCGCGCTATTTACTAAAGTTTGGGGTATTGATTTCGCAGTTCGTCTCAAATTCTGAAAATTACGGTTCTTTAAAAATTCTCTGAAATAGCCTGTCGTCCTGGCCGACACCATAACGGATGTACCTAAAGTGGGCATTAAAAGACATGATTACGTAACTTAGGTAAGAACAAGTTTATATTTTTTTTTATTGGGACCAGCTCGCCGCAACCTCCCAAAACCGCTGCAACTCCTGTAAGCCAGGATCTACAGTAGAGACAACCATGAAAACACCGGAACACTGAAGTCCGGCGCGTCCCAGGGACATGAGTAACTGTCTTGGTTCCCGCAACGAAGTGAATCAGAAGATATTATAAGAGGAGAAGAAAAAAAATGATAGTTTCCACTTCCCTCGGTGAATTTCGCATGTGTAGCAGTACGTTTAGGCTTGCAGGAGACAGAGTGAATTAAGCCTAAAGCCACAAAGTAAAGAGACTGTACAATTGGGTGAAGTCCAGTCGCCAAGCACCACGAAAATTTGACTAAAATCTAAGATCTAAATTTCGTAATAAATAGTAATAAATAAATAAAACTCACTGGTCACATCCGTAGACGCGGTCAACTAGATTCATCTTGCACGTCTCCAGCTCGTTGTACACAATCTCACGATCCTTCACACAAGGGCATATTTTAGCCTTCTCTGAGTACCAGATTTTGGGCACAGTGCGTGTGTATCTGAAAAATAATTTCCAAATACTTAGATATATTGAGATGTTCTGCTCTGTTGCACGGTTAGCGCGGTGGCTGGGCAAGCAGCTGCCGTGCAACGTGTCGCAGATTCGATTCCCGCACGGAACAACACTTTGTGTGATCCACAGACTGTTATTCCGGGTCCGAGTGTCATGTGTATGTGAATTCGTATATTTGTAAATGCACCCACGACACAGAAAAAACCTTGTGAAGCAACATTTATTTTAAAAAAAACGTTACTTATAACAGAATAAAGTCCAATTTCGTGCAGACTTTGTGGCAATAGAGGAATTCGCCTCCAAAGTGACTTATAACTTCACTGGTAAAGTCATAACCCTTCTATAGCTTCGTCATAGTCGGGTAAACAGACAAATACATTTGTCTTTAAAAAAGCTTATTTAAACACTAGCTACTTCCGCGCGGTTTCACACGCTCTGCTCAGCTCCTATTGGTCGTAGCGTGATGTTTTATAGCATATAGCCATCCGCGATAAATGCACTATCCAACACAAAAAGAATTATTCAAATCAGACTTGTAGTTACGGAGATTAGCGCGTTCAAACAAACAAACAAACTGTTCCGCTTTATATAATAGTATAAGAGGTATAAGATAAAAGTAAAGAACTCACCTAAAACACTTGGTATTATCATGTCTGAACAACAAAGGCTGACAGATCTTCAGCACAAAGCTCCAAGTCTCCAGCGAATCAACGGTGAACTTATTAAAATTACCCACCAACTCCTTCTCAACAGACGCCCGGTAGCTATCCCCTTTGCTACTGGCACTGGACTTATACCCACTCTCCGTAGACTTATACCCACTTTCTGTAGACCTGTACCCGTCTGAATAATCGCTTCTACTTGATTGGAGATTCACAAACATTCTCTCATCTAATTCAGGAGTTATAGAGATCCTGTCCACTCTAGGACTCTGACTTTCTTTAGAAGGAGAGTCATATTCCACTAAACCTTTGTCCTGACTGTCTTCATCACTCATATTTCTCTTGTTTTATCTCATTTATGACTGATTCCAAAAACGTGTCATCTGTTAAAGCATCCGACCCTTTACTCTGATCAAAATCAAATATCTTCATGTCTATCGGAGAATCAAAAATATTGCTATCGTCCTTTTTACGAGTTTTTGTTGCAAATTTCTCGATGTCACAACTCTCGTCAAACATATCGAGTAATTCGTCATCGTTTGGATCGATTTCGAATTTAAATGAATCGATTACTGGTTGTAGCTTCTCGATTTTCTTAGCTGGAGTTGTTTTTGGACTCTCTGTGGTATCCTTTTTCGCGTCTGTTGTTTCTTTAGGTTTTAATTCTTTCGGTATTGGTATGTTTTTGAGTTTGTCATCGGCTTTTGGACTGAGATGTGGCCTGTCTTCATTGTCTAACGACCAGCTATCACAAACTAAATATTCGCTTAAATTCACGTCAGTTTCTTTTGGATCTTTCTCAGGTTTGTCTGATTTCTTCTTAGCTACAGGAGTCTGTTCTTTATCTTTCTTCTCATCTTTTCTATCATCTTTCTTTTCATCCTTTTTATCCTCTCTCTTCTCTTCTGTTTTCTCTCTTGATTTATCCCTATCTCTATCCCTATCCCTATGTCTATCTTTGTCGTCTTTTCTCTTATCCTTATCATCTTTTCTATGACTGGAGTGTCGTCTAGAATCTTTATCATACTTATCACTCTTTCTCCTACCTTTATCTCTTTCTTTATCTAACTTTTTCCTTATATCTCTATCTCTATCTTCACTTATCTTTCTAACTTTTTCAATTTCATCCTTTTTGCGTTGGAAAGGATTGTCATAATCTGGTAATATCTTTTGATAATCGAATTTGAATTCTCTACCTTCAGCTTTGGCTTTCTTAGCTTCTCTAATGATTTCGTCTAATTTAGACGGATCTGTGAATAATATAAGAACATTAAGTTGTCTGAAAATAACAATATTTGCATCTAAACTACTTATAACTACATGGACTACCATTATAACTAATTAAAGTAAATAAAAAAATAATTATGATAACTATACTAAGAATAAAATCTAATGAAACATGCGAGGAAGCGAGTATGGGTAAAGCAAACATTGGTTGCAATGTTTGTGCAGCGGTGGCTGTAAGCTGGTGTAATGATACTAATGATGAGAAATTGGCTACAAATATTGGATCAAACTATCACAACATATAAATGTGAATGCGTTGACAATTTTTATAAAGATTCTTGGACAATAAAATTTGATCCAATACTTCAATCAATTTACTTCATTGAAAGTAGCCAGGATTCTTTGATCTTAATAATAATTGAATAATTATGTACTCTTGCCTCAATTAACAAAGTGTTCTTTATTTACATTGAACCAACATAAAATACACCGAATGGTCGTAAGTGCAGCTGCCGGGCAAAGGATCTCGGGTTCGATTCCCAGTTCGGGCAAAGTATTACCGAAGTTTCTAAAAATTCTCAATAGTAGCACGGAGTTTGGAATTGTGCCCGGTACATGGCAATAGGCTCACTCCCTATTACATGGGACTCGTAACATAAATAGTGAAATATGGGTGTTAGATAGTGAGAGTGGCATTAAGTGCCATAGATAATGTGCACCTCTATCTAGCCCTTCGGGGATAAAAGGCGTGATGATGTTATGTAAAATAAAAGGTAAAAGAGTCAATGAGTTATTTTTATGTTATAATTTTTTGTATTCTAGACTTTGGAACAAAGAAATATCTTCATTAGAGGACTGATCGACAGACAGACACTTATATCTTTAAATATACTTAAATATACTTTTGTTTGACTTTCAAAAGTGACTCAAATAAATGATTATAATATCCTGGATACTTCCAAAACTTAAAGAATAAAATATTATCTATACAAACAGTTAAACAAGCAGTGTTCTGTAAGGCAGTTATTGTTGCATAGCAACCGGCGCGTCGTTGGCTGCGGCGCTGCGCGTGCGCCGCTACCACGGCCTACATGCAGGGACGCCGGGGAAGCTTAGGTTAAATAGTGAGTGGATAGACAGACAGACAGATTTACAGTTTGATGATAAAAAAAATTAAATATTTTTTCAGATGTTTTAGGTTACATTATATTTATTTGTTAAAATTATACAGACATTATATTTTGTATATGAAATCAGTTTTATAAAACACTTAAGTCTGATAAAACTGTTTTCATAAACAAAACATCTGCTTAAGCGGTAATGTTACTAAATATAACTTTTTTTATAAGTTTTACCATCAAACTGTATTTAAAAAAAGAAGTACATTTCAATGTCAACTTTATTTATGTGACGCTAATGTTACATTTGAAGACATGTGCTATCACTGACAAGGATTAAAAAAAATTTATATGAACAATCAAATTCATTTACCAAATAGCATATCAAGGGCAATGCACATTAAATAACACTTAAAATCAGCATCAACAAGTGCAGTGATTATTAAAATCTTAATTATGTAGCTATTCGATCCAACCACAGTAAAAAACTGTATTTATGAAGAGGATGTGACACAGGTCACATACCGAAAACGCTAACAAAAGTAACATCAGACATACTGCCGAATGTCCCAAAGAAGGCGACAGATTGTAGTAATTAAATAAAAAAAAAAAATGTAGCTATTAGGCCTCTGCCTCGAATTTTGCGGGCAGCGGGGCGGCGGGGCGGCGGCGGCGGCGCGGTTGGCACTGCTTGACTAGAGTGCACTGCTTGTTGCCCGCCGCAACGCCGCTGTGTTTTCGAGAACCAGTTCATTTGATTTTACGCATAAGCTCCAGCCGCTCCCCCGCCGCCACCGCCGCCGCCCCGCTTCCCGCAAAATTCGAGGCAGAGGCCTTATGTATTTGCGTGTAGTGTAGACAAAAAGCAGTAGAAGAAACAGCTTATATTAACACCCATTGGGCCTATAGCACACGGCGTATTTTATACGCGTAAATGACGGGCGTATACGCGCTTCATACGACATTTGAACGCAACCTTGTAAACTAAGCACACGGATCGTGAAACGCGCCTTTACTGCGCGTATACGCGCTGTAGTCGCTCGTTACACAATAATGAATAAAACAATTGCAACTAAGGCGCGGGCGGGACAGCGCCAGTCGCCTCCTCCCTCTGCCACTACTCCGTTCTATTGTACGCACGTATACGCCTTTCATACGCGCGTTTGAATCATCAATGGAAACGCAAGAATTAGCGTCCACGGCGCTCAAAACGCGCGCTCCTAGTTCGAGCGTCACCTGCATTTTAAATAAGCCGTGTACTACGGCCCCTTATAGTGAGGTTCTGACTTAAAAAGTAAAGTAGTGCTATGGACTAGATTATAGCTAAGACTCAAGAAAACTAATCATTTTTAAACTAAGAATTTCTTATCACTATTCTCTTATAACTATTTATTATCTTTGAGACTAATCCCCGTTTTTTAAGATAGGACTGAAACCCTGATTATAGTCAATTCATGCCAATTTAAATCTTATTATAGGATAAATATGAAATAAATCAGTGAGTTTCAATTATATCCCAAAGTTATATCCTTCACTTTACAGCAAATTAATCAGAAATGGACTCAAAGATGTGTATATTGGAGTTATTTGTTGATCAATTACAGTTTGTGAAGTGTTTAATAAAGTATATTTTTAAAAAACTTACCCAAAAATGTCTTGATAGGCGGCATAGCTTTGGTAGGCATAGCCTTATCATTAGTAGCACTAGGACAGATGAGACCTAAGGGTATGCCTAAGTCCACAAGTTCCATTTTACGCTTCATGTCTTCAATCTCATGTAACGTACGCTTTTGAAGTTCTGTGTAGGAATCTGTAACATTCAGAAGATTATTATTAAATACTAGCTTTTACCCGCGGCTTCGCTCGCGTCACAAAAGGATAAAAAGTAGCCAAGTAGCCTATGTGACATATACCAAGACATACAGCGCCATCTGTACCAATACTTTTGTTTTTCCTCTGGAATATCAAATTTTTTCGGGATAAAATGTACCCTATTATTTAATCCAGACTACTAACTTTACGTCTGCAAAAATTCAATGCAATCGGTTTAGTAGTTACGGCGTGAAGTTGGAACAAACAAACAAACTAACTCACTTTCCGATTTATAATATTAGTAAGGATATTAGTAAGGATTTATTTTCAAAAGAACATTTGCTATAAACCATCTTACTTTTCTTATCATAAGTTATTATATAGTAATAGCACAAATAGATGATTAAACCGAACAGTCCCCATACAGTCAATTTAGTTGGGTAGTCCGGTGATAGCCATTCAAAATGTGCAACAGACCGCTGTATACACTATCCAAAATCCGGAGCGGACAAAAGTGACGGTTTGGTTCGATCGTCTATTTGTGCTTTAAAGGTATGCACTTTACCTCCCATTTTTCAATTGCAATTGCACATTTTAAGAAGTAGTCAGGGTTGCATTTACAGTAACAATGACATTTGCCAGTTCAGAATCAAAGCATCTATTTCAACTTGCCTACATAAAGGTAATTTAGGAAAAGAACTTTTAAGGTTTCATACTTAGAATTACATAAATTAACACTACACTCGTATATTGAAAAGATATTGATCTATAATAGCTATGGATAAGTCTATTACAAACTAAATGAAACATACTTTTTAAGTGCGGGAGAGGCATGCTTCAGCATGAATAGGCTGGCTTGACCGGAGTGATACCATCACCTCACAGAAAACTGACGTGGAACAACGGCGTTGTGTTTCGTCGTGTGACGCACAAATTACTAATCCCCAAAAGCTTAGTTACGTATTTGTAACGCCTCTGGCGTTCCAGGTGTCCATGGGCAGCGTCGATTGCTTATCATCAAGAGATCCGTAAGTTCGTTTACCGGCTTATCAGACAAAAAAAATTACCTTGCATAATCTTCCTAGCCTGACCAGGTTTCGGAGGCTTTGGTGGCTTCTTCTGTTCTGCATCATCTTGTTTTTCTACCTTCGGAGTAGTCTTCACATGGTTTAGTTTACCGATGAATACTGTTGTATCTGAAATATTATAAGAATTAGATGTTAGCAAAATTAATTATTTTGAATATAATAATGACCAATGTGACTTTTTCTGAGTTATAATAATATGTACTTCCATAGATTATATAGACACCACAGACAAACAGTGGAAAACATCATGAGGATACCTGGGCTTATAATTCCTAATTATAAGTTTGAAATCACTAACCCGCATTGAGCAAATGTGGTAATTAATGCTCAAACCTTCCTGCTTCTCCATGTGAGAAGAGACAAAGACTGAAGGGTCAGCAGTCACTTATGTTGATGATGTATCATAAAAACTAGAGTAGTATAAGGACTAAAACTAATAAAGGTTGTCAAGTCAAGTACAGAGAAATTAACAAAAATCTAAAATAAATTACTCACTTCCTCCGCTAATAGCTTTGGGAACAGGAACAGGTGCTATTGGACTCTTCTTCTGTATGGAGAATGCTCTCAATCTCTTCTTAGCATTCTCTACTCCTTTCTGTGACGGGACTAGCTTGAAGCCGATAGTGCTCGTACTCGGTTTAGGAGTTGCGGTTGTTGGTATTCCAATATCAGACTAGAAACAAATATTGTTTGTTTTTTACATTTCATTTTTATATTTACACACAGAAGTGTTTTTTTGTACAACTAGATGTAGACCTTTTTTGTTGTTTATATTTATAAACCTTTCACATTGATCTTAGCTCAAGTGTAGATTTTTGAGCATAGAACGAATAGGATAGAAAAAGATGACTAATGTTTTCTATATCCCAAATTCACTAACACATTATCTGTAGTGGCTGTAGCAGGCATTTTAAAATGTTTTAAATACCAAGTAGAATAAATTGGAAACATTGTGGAACACTTAGAAAATGTAAAGTACCTTCTACTTTGCCAATACACTAAAATTTTGGCGCCATCATAAAATCGGACACAAATACTAGACTGCGAACAGAAGGCTATTTATAAAGACTAGATCAATACTGAAATAGAATTAAACATATCAATGTGTATACATCATCGTTTGTCTATAATTGCACTTGCGGCATTTGCCATGCTAACAAATATAATGATCCTAAGGGTTGAACTTACCTTGTTGAAGTCGGCCTTGGAGATTCCTGGCGGCGCCGGCTCATCGGAGTCCTGGGACTCCGACCCAGCCTTTAATATCCCTTCACAATCCATCTTCAGGCAAAATCACACTGCTATTCAATACGAAATGTTGAGCAAAACTTAATTTTGTTCATCGCTGATACGCTTGAACTGCAAACTTAACTAATGTAACTGCACTACTATTTCAATGAATAATACAATACAATTGAACTATTTAACCTCGAAATTAATTTGACAAACATGCATCTAACAAAACAAGTGATTGTTTATGCATTTTACATTATTTCTCATATCAAAAGTGAATGAAATCGTGCTTGTAAAAACTTGACAAAAAATTGACATAAATATCGGAGGGCTATGAAGATTAAACCGAGACAGTCATAAAATTATGGTAAACATTTGGAATAGTAAAACTGGAACGCGGTTTTCATAGCCAATATTTGCCTTTTATTTTTCAGTAGAAAAACTTTATTCCCACTTTAACACCAAGTATTTATGCCTAATGGTTCTAATATTTTAATTTATTTTTTTATAATATATCCTGATTATGAAGTACCCCTATACTTAATATTCTCTTTGTTGTGAAGCTGTTACTGATAAGTATATAACATAACATTGAAAATGTCAGAATAAAATTAACATTTACATTTAAAATAATGAACACACGAATAAGGCACTTAAAATGGTACAATGATAAGGAATATCTTAATGGTTTAGTAGTTTATGAAAAGTAGCACTAAAATTGTGTGCAGACTTTATAAAGAAGAACTCACTTGGTTTTGAGAATAAGCAGTTTAATTTGAATATGCGCCCAAAAGAGGTCATTGCTGCAGTTTTTATTTTTTAATGTGGCCCCACATTTTGGTCAAATTCAAAGTCAAAGCATTTATTTCAATAAAGCCATAATTTGATACTTTTGAAACGTAAATACAAAGTAAATAATAGACGGTCAGTCAGTTTGTCAGTGAAGCTAGGTGCTCTTCCCAAAATGTAGATTCGAATGGAGAAGAACGAGCAAGAAACTCCATTCGTTCTCGCTAGGGTTGTGGGTGCATTTACAAACAAGCACATCACAACTCAGCTCCAAACAACAATTCATAAATCACACAAAATATCAGGCTTATTCGGTGTGAGGATCGAACCCGTGACACGTCGCGAAGCAGGCGGCTGCCCAGTACCCCTATACTCATTAACTCATTATACTCTTTGCTGCCCAGTCACTACGCTAACCAACCGTGGAATCTTTTAATAGAACATGTGAAAAGAAATATGTAGTCACTTTGTTTCCAAGATGCACACACGGTTTTTATCGACTATTTTGTTAGTCCCCTTTCGCACTAGGGGTCAACCGCGCGGCTAGCCGCTCCGTGCGGTTGACCGCTTTTCCAATTTAATATGCAACCGCGTCTGTCGATACGAACCGCCAAGGCGGTTAACCGCTAGTGCGTAAGGGGGCTAAGACTAACAGAGCTGATGACATACTGAGAGAGCAAAGTGAAAGAAATTTTATAATTTGTCAATGTAATTTATTTTTTAAGTTAGGTAAGTAAGTAATAATATTTTTAATTATAAACACAATTTCATCATTTCAACATAGATTACACGATTATTTTTCTTTTCCCTTATTCTATTTACAGTTTCTATAAAAAACTAAATAATCTTAAAATTTTTATTTAAGTTCCAGGATACTTGACTCCTATCAGAAACTCCGACAGTTCATCATTCAGCTTTATACTGTGTTCAATTTGAGAATCTGTTTCTGCAACTGAAAAAGAAAGTATTAATTAAGTAAAAAAAACTCAACTCAGTACCTGGGACCTGGGAGTTTGAAATACGACTGTCAAGCTTTTTAAATTGTTATAGAGTACAATATTTTTTTTTATGGCGATGGCGGTGTATCACAGTCTGTAGATATGAAATCATAAACATCATAATTATGATCATTCAGTTTCTGTAGTGTCTACTAGTAATTCATATAAATTAATGAATAAATAAAAAAAATTGATAGATGTGCATAAGAGAAAAAAATTTAAAGTTCACTTTGTTTTTACTGCTGTAGAAGAAATAGACATATTTTTTTAAATCCAAATACAAACCTAAAGGCGTAAGAGTATTAGCAATTTCCTCTTTCACATCCAAATTCTGATTGGTTGCAATGTCATTGACATCTGCAAAGAAGACTTCTGGTACCGTAGACACAGTAGCCATTTCTTCTGCCCCAACACAAATCTCAACCAATTCCTTAAACTCCTTATCTCTTCTCTTCTTCTGTGGCAATTTTCTTTTTAGCGCTTTCTGCTTGCCTTTGGCTAAATCTTCTGTGTGTATATTCTTAATATTTAGTACTCTAGTAACTTCATCTCGGATTTTTGATTTTTCTTCTTCCGTCAACTCAATTCCACTGTCATAGTTTTTCACATATTTCGTTATGGGTACATCATCATCGCTACTAGTGCAATCTATGTCGGTCTTTATGCCAGATTTATTGTTCTCTTTTTTGATTAGCTTTCGCCATTTTTTTATTAGATTATCTGCTACTGCCTGAAAATATTAGAATAGGGATGATGACAGGGTATGAAAATTAAAAATGTAATTAGTCCGTTAGTTAGGTAATGAAAAAATATTTGACACGTATTTTTTATTTGCTGCCTCGTTGGCCGAGTGGTCGCAAGTGCGACTGCCGGGCAAGGGGTCTCGGGTTCGATTCCCGGGTCGGGCAAAGTATTACTGGGTTTTTAAAAAAAAATCTCAGTAGTAGGACGGAGTCTGGAATTGTGCCCGGTATATGGCAATAGGCTCACCCCCTATTACATGGGACTCATAACATAAATAGTGAAAAGTGGGTGTTACATTGTACAGTGACATAATGTGCACCTCTGCCTACCCCTTCGGGGATAAAAGGCGTGATGTTATGTATTTTTTATTTTGTTGTATGATAAAATGATACATACTTAAATATAACGAATCAAAGTTTAGTAGTGGGGGCTAAAACGCCATTTCTACTATCAAATGACATAGAAGTGACGTCTGCGACAGTCATCTACCCTATTACATAATGATGAAATTGCTTTCTATGGTATGTCTTGAATACAGCGTCATAGACCATTTATGCTAAAATCAGCTAATGATTTTAGCAATGTTATTAGTTCCAAGCTTTTAGATACCTACTTAAGTCTTATTAAAATCTCTCAATAAATTATACACAGATCAAAATTAAAGAACAGACAGAAAATACAAATAATACTTATTGTACAAGCATATTAAATTGTGGATCGAGTGATCCAACTAGCAACTATTATTGTTATTTAGATATTACAATTTTAACTTTTAAGAAATATCTATAACCTCATAAGTAATTTAGTAAAGAAGTGCTTTCTTACTTACAAAATTAACAGGCTTGGGTATCCTCAACAAGTAATGCTGGTCATGTGCTTCCAGCATCTCACACTTGGAGCAGAGATCGTAATCAGGACAGGTGATGCATTTATATCGGAAACCAAGGATGGACTTGTTGCAGCTGTTGCATACTATGTTGTCATGTGCTGTCTGAGTTTCAGACTCATTTGATCCTGTAATTTTTAATTAAGGTACCTAGTTACTTAACTGAAAAAAGCGTATAAATTAAAAAAATTAAATGCAACAGAAAATTAAAAATAGTTTTTTGCATAGGTCGATATTTGACCATATCTCGCCTGGTGGTAAGCGATGATGTGGTCATTTCGTCCCATAAGCAACCTATTCACTCGGGCCTTGAAGACACCCAAGTTATACCCTTCAGGGAATACAGACTCTGGGAAAAAATTCCACTCCTTAGCAGTATGCACAAGGAGGCTTGATGCAAAGCGCTTCATACTTGATGATAGGTTAATAAAATTGGAGACTAATATTATTATTGAGGGCTTGATTAGTCCAATAAACAAGATAATCCTTTATTTTCATAAATTATATGGGAATAAAATAGATGAATGGATGGAGTACTTTACATCTAGAACTTTACATTATTTTTAGAGGTGAATTGTTTTTATCTGGACTTGTACCCACTATTATAGAAACTATAGATAGAGTAGATACATGTGTCCAAGTAAAATATTTGTACAAACCATCATTTGTATAATTAGAGAGGCATAAAGTAGGTACAGCATCAGCACATAGATGTTTGTTTTTGATATTTGAGGGAGAGAAATGGCGGGAACAAACTCTGTGTGTCAGCTTCTTATGGTCTCTTTCGAGCAAGTCTGTGCGGCCTATAGCTTCAAGCCATTGTAGTAACCTGGAAAACAAAAAATTTATAAATTAGGAAATGCTATTAATGCTAGGTTTTTATTAATATTATTTTATATTTATTATGTTTTTATTCATGCTACTGGGACGCGCTAGACTTTAGTGTTCTAGTGTTTTCATAGTTGTATCTGCTGTAGATCCTGGCTTAAAGGAGTTGCAGCAGTTTTGGGAGGTTGTGTCAGGCTTGTACAATATAAAAAATATGTAATATTTATAGATACACAGCAAGCAGGTAGATAAGTATTGAATAAATAAAATGCAAGAATTCTTTCTATCTGGTACTTTTTTGTATACATATTTTGTCAATTGGAAAGCAAATATTGATGTTTGAGATAAATAACATAACATTGTAAGCCATGTTTACATTATCTATACTCAGGTTTACGAGCTTTAGTTAGGTTTATACTGTATAAAGGTTTGAAGGTTGGTTTCATCTGAAATCAATTTCTGATGACGAATTTTCATTTACAAAGTTGTTTCATGACATGCAAAAGGAAGTTCTGTATGAATTGACATTTCCTCTTTATTACCGTTGTTAAAAACGCAGGAATTTGTAACTATAACAATAATAACGTACCGGTTCCTCTCCTTTGGTAAACCGTAGTAATACAGATGTTTACTGGTTTTGCTGTTCCTACCACATCCGTACACACAACAATAGTTAACCATATTTACCAATAATGAAATTTAATCAGCTTTTAACCGATATTTCTCACAAATTCAATTGAATGAATTGGGCTGAAAAATACAAAACTTTTTGTTTATTTTTGTAAATCACAAACAAATGTCAAACATAAAAATTTTAATCTGTGCTTTAGACGATGTTTATTTATTCTACAAGACGTGAGATGGCGTTAATATTTCTAATGCAACGCCATCTAGTATCCAATAGAAGTATTTTAGTGCACTGTTTCGACTTTGGTAAACAACAAATGCTCTTAATAAAACAGTTCTTCAGATATAAATAAAAAATATAAATTACAGTACCGACACCGCAATGCATTTTATTTTCAAACTGGGTCTGAATTTTAAAACTTGTTTGGAGCATCAGCGGCAAATGTGCATGACCTGCCTCAATGAAGGTCATGGCAAGCGACGACCACTATACACAATTTCACACTTTAGACGTTATCATCTGTATATTTTTATTTTTTCAACTTTCAAGTCTTAACATTTTTTGTTATCATTACAAATAATATCATCGTATTCAATATTAATTATTATACCTATACCATCATTGGTAATGCTATGGAATATTGTAAGTATTAGAACTCTTACCAAAAGAAGAATATTAAGTAACTATAAGTAATGATATGTCGTGGTGGCCCAGAGGTTTAAGACGCTCGTTTCTCATGTATGAGGTTGTAGGTTCGAAACCTATCAGCGGCAAGTACCAATGTGAGCTTTTATAACTTTTTCTGAGTTATATGTACTTTCTAAGATTATATTTGGACACCACTGACAAACGGTGAAGGAAAAACATCGTGAGGAAACCTGGGATTATAATTTCTAATTATAAGTTTGCAGCAAGCGATTATGTGGAAGGTGATTAATGCTCAAACTTCAGTGTGAGAAGAGGCCTTTGGTCAGCAGTGGCTGCTTATAGGCTGATAATTGATGATTATTATAATGGTAAGCAAATTCAAGGAATTGAGCGGTAGCAGTACCGGCTATATTTTATAAAAAGGCACTCTAGGTAGGTGCACTAGGTAGAACCTTTTTGATCTCCACGCGCATGACAGGGTTCCTACAAATCAATAAAGTTCAAAGCCCTATCTACAATCTGAATGGTAACATGGACCAATAAACTATAAGGTAGTGTTTCATAAACACAGAGGAACAAACTACAATGTACAATTTTACTGGAAGACTGTGATGTTATTTTGATTATGATGGAGAGAGAGCGACTGGCTACTGTGAAGTATGAAACATATATCGCGTGTTCGTTGAAACAATTCTTTATGGAACCCACAAATCGTTGCTCCGGGACTAAGTCTGATGAGTTAGTAGACAGTCTGGTGAGTTAGAAGACAGTCATGTTAATAATAGGGTAGATGCCTACCTAATTTTTATTTTAATGTCCGTCTGGTAGATTATTTTCAATTAGACACGTATTTCGAATACTTTCGACGATGTATTGATTTGAAATGTCGCGTGACGTCACTTCTATGTACATTTTATACGTGGAAATGACGTTTTAGCCCCTATTCCTAAACTAATTATATTTTAATTTTCATACCCTGTCATCATCCTAATTTGTGATACCTTACCTAATTGAAACTAGTTAAACATAAAAATCCTACACACCCTTATTGAATATTAAAACTGCGGCAATGATGTATAATTTATCAGATGCAGAAAAGAAAAAATTGGCAATATATTGTATCCAAAACTGCCGCATCCACCACCAGACATTTCTTGTATCGGCTACAGTTCCTGCATCGATTGCTGCTGTCACTGAACTGTAGACTGCTAGTTGCCATGCCACATTATGTTATGTCTCGCCTTCTCGAGCCTTTCATGCAACTTGTAGCCCCATACGAAAATTACCATGCCCTGTGAGCGATGACGGCAGGCTAAAAAAAAATTCTACATTCTCCAGTGTATTTATTATTTTGTTGCCATTCCTCTGTATCCTGGGGGTATCATAAGGACTAACCATGAACTGAGTTTCTAGTTACTTTTACAATAAGATTTCTAGTATCTTAACTATTTTTAAATGGCGATTTCCGACCTGCTTGCTAACTGTGGAGCATCAAACTCTTTTATATTGGCCATAGTGGCCCGTAGTCCAGTAGATAGTAGTGGATCACGGGCTGTTGATGCTGAACCAACGTCGTCCCATTGTTATAAGAGCATACTTACTTAGTAACAGGGGCAAAATTATTCGCCAAAGACAAATTTATACGCCAAAGAGTCTTAGTTCTACATAGTCATCACACAAATATTATAAATGTGATAGTTTCTTATGTTTGGATGTTTGTCCGTCAATCAGACGGAAACTACTGAACGGATTTTGATGAAATTTGGTATACAGGCCAGGTATGGGCTGACTAAGATGACTTTTTATCCTGATTAAATGCTCCCATGGGATAAAACAGGAATTATATTCTACGCGGTCAAAGTCGCGGGTAACAGCTATTTACATAATAATTATGTGAACCAGTCATGTACTAGCCGAGTTATTTTTATGGTCAATGTCATCACAATATACTCACTATACTCTTTGCATCACAATCACACTTCCTTTGCTTGTCAGAACGTTCCTCCGGATAGTGATAATTACAATTAATTGTAAAAGTGCTCACATCCCTTTCAACTTTGGTCTCTTGGTATTTTCATATACTTGTATGTGCAGGTTTTAACAATATTTTATTAAATTGGTTTTTTTAAGGGGGAAAATCATCGAATGACTTCGCCCGCCTACGTGAGGCGGAAGGGAGTGTCAGACTCTTACAGATTAAAAACCACCCCGTTCCTTCTCCGGCACTTCGAGCCGGAGCCCCGATAACCCGTTAGGTTCTCTACGACATATTAAGTAGGTTAGAAATAGGTTTTAATCTACAAAAGACCTAAACGAAAAATGCTAAGAATAAATATAAAACCACGTCTTTTATCCCCGAAGGGGTAAGCAGAGGGGCACATTACGGCACTTAATGCCACTGTACAATATAAGTCAAAGTCAAAATCATTTATTTCAATTAGACCAAGAAGGCACTTTTTAACGTCAAAACAAAATATTTTAATATTAAAGATAAAATGACAGTATTCTATGTCGGTCAGTCCTCTAGTGAAGGTATTTGCTCGTTCCAAAGTGTAGATTCCTATGGAGAAGAACGAGTAGGAAACTCCATTAGTTACTCTTTTTCAATCAGATTCATAATGCAACACCTACTTTTTACTAGTAATGTTATGAGTCCTATGTAATAGTGGGTGAGTCATTACCATATACCGAGCACATTTCCAGACGATACTACTGAGATTTAAAAAAAATTAATACTTTGAATTGAATCCGATAGACCCCTTGCTCGGCAGTCGTACTTTCGATCTCTGGGCCAACGAGGCAGGCTAAGAATAAATATTTGTGACGATATTATTATGAATCTTTTAAGCACTAGTCTTCTTAGTAGACAGAAACTGTTTCTTTTCAGACCGTCACGGACTGTTGATGGTGTACAAATACTTAGTTAGTTTAATATTTTAGAGAATGCTAAGAATAAAACACTTCAAACCCCAACGCATGCAATTAGATCAGGAACATCTATAAATAATTAATAACTTCTATATTGTGGTCGTATTGATATCAGCATCTGTGGTTTATCATGGCGCCTGTATTTTGTGAGCTGTGGTTCTTGAAACTTGATAATATTGTCTCAATATCTTAACCAAACTGCTACTGGAGAAGAAGAAAAATTAGAGATACATGTTACTTAATATTCGTATTGGTTTTTCTCTAAATAGGTGGTAAAGCTGGCATGATAGTCAACGATTATGCCCAAGATATTTTGATGTTCTTGAAGACAGTTCGGGTTTTTTTACAAAAATTAATAATGTTGAATATCTTAGAAACTTGTCACTTTCGGACCAGAGACCTCAGGGCTAATTTTGTACAAAATTAGTTTTATTATCACCTCCCGAAAGGAATACTTCGAGTTACAAGTCACCCTGTATAAAGGTGTGTAGGATGAAGTTTATTTATAGGGCCATGAAACCAACATCAAAGTTTGAATAGACAAAATCAATGCCTAGCATTTTATATCTTCGCTAGCATCAAGTGACACTATTGTACAACTTTAACGATCACGAAACTCAATTTACACGAAGTCTAGACAGTTGGATACCTGCCCAATACATACATATGGTAGAACAGACAATAGGATCACCCCTTTTACATAGTAAATTATGTAAATGGCCAATAAGGTCTTATTTTTGAAGAATGAAACTGCAATTAACAATCGCATTGTCTGCGAGATGAAAGAGTAAATATCAATACAAACATTGACACAATCGCTTTGATCTCGTCATTCCTCTCAATGAACAGGCAATTGTTATCAAAACATGCATACACGTTACGAATACAAAAAATAAACGCATCATTCAATCCCTAACAACACATAACCTTGGGACGCAACAGTACACCATCCATATTATAATAGCAAGTCACTAACCTCTGTCTCCCAAGGTTTTAAGTCCACAATGTAATTGAACATGTCTGGATCCCACACATACAAACCACCCCCCACACACGCACACACACAGCTTCACAAGTAACTCGAGCTATCCTGACCACAGATGTCCTACCAATCGTTCAGTATATAAACTCGCCGGCCGGCAAAACATTCAAGTTATCCCCAGTCTCACTTGGTGAAAACAGGTTTTATAAACAATAATGTCTCTACTACCTTTTGTGCTTGGAACCACCCCTCATCGTCTGGCTGACCAGGAGTTTGGCTTAGGCCTCACTCCTGATGATCTGCTAACAGCTGTGGTAGCCCCAATGATGGCTAGAGAATACTACAGGCCTTGGAGACACATGTCTGCTGGAAGAGACATTGGATCCACCATCGTGTCCAACAAAGACAAGTTCCAAATCAACTTGGATGTACAGCATTTCGCTCCTGAAGAGATCAGTGTGAAGACAGCTGATGGTTACGTGATTATTGAGGGTAAACATGAAGAGAAGAAAGATGAACATGGCTTCATATCCCGTCAATTTACCCGTCGCTATAACTTGCCAGAAAATTGTGATCCTGCTACTGTTGAATCCAAGCTTTCGTCTGATGGTGTGCTGACGGTTATTGCTCCTAAAGTGCCTCCAACTTTGAAGAATGAAAGGTCTGTTCCTATTTCTCAGACTGGACCTGTTAGGAAGGAGATCAAGGATGCTACGACTCAGCCAGCAGGTCAGGCCGACGCCAACGGAACAGCTAAGTGATTGTCCAAAGACAATATGCAACAACCCTATTGGTTCGACTGATTGCTCGATCTCCGCTTCGCAAACCTATTTCGATTGGTTATTAATGTGATATTTAAATATCTAAAAGTCGACTTTTTTATTACAGTTGTATGTATATGTGTAGTGTGCACCTTTATAGAGTTTTTAATTAGTGATAGTGTTTTCATAAAATAAATCTTCCTATTGCTGTATTTGGACGTTTAATTTACCTCACACAAGCATCTTTTTCATGGTTAAAAGAGTAAGTACACTTATAGGCAAACTATATGTATAAGATTTTATTTTTATTTTTTTTTATAAAACGTTCCACGCTCGGATTTTCTCCTATGTCACTGATGTATTACGTTTACAAACATACAAGTTCACAATATACTCATGACACCCAGACCCTAAACAACAATTGGAATCGTACTCATTACAAGTTGCGCGGCAGCCATTTACCCAGCCACCGCGCCAACCGTGCAGATTATGTAATTAGTGTAGGAATTCAGTTAAGTACTAAATCAACAACTCAGGTTGAAGATGTAAAGAGAAGTTCGATTTTAGTTTTGTAAAACGTTTGCAAAGTTAAGTAAATAATAAACAGAAAATAACATTACTTTTAGATTTTCAGTACAAGTGAGTAACGTATGAGTTTTAGGATAAACTGTTGTTAAAATGCATTACAGTTATTGTATCTACCTATCCTTTTAAAATTGTTTCAGTACAAACCCCTCACATAATAAAAAAAATGGATGAAAAATAAAAAACCAAGACTTACATTATCACGAACATTTATTAAAGTAAAAACACACGTCTATCAGTCTTAAAAACAAAATGTCATGATGTTACTTGACTAGCACTTAAAATGTAGAGAAAACTCCGAAGATTAGGCCTTGGAGCAGGACTGTTGGTCAGCCTGGCAAGACCCTTGCACGTCTTCCTTGCCTTCATTAGATTCCTTCGCCTCCCTTCGCACAGGTCCAGTCTGAGTGATAGGAACCACTCGTTCACCCTTCACAGGCTCCACTTTACGAGGAGCAGAAACCGTCAGGATACCATCACTAGATAGTTCAGAAATCACCTCCTCAGACTTCGTACCTTCAGGTAAAGCGTATCTCCTCACAAACTGACGAGACACGTACCCATGTTCATCTTCCTTCTCCTCATGTTTAGCTTCAATCACCACGTAGCCATCAGCAGTCTTCACTGATATTTCTTCTGGAGAAAAGTGCTGCACGTCCAAGTTTACCTGGAACTTATCTTTGTCGGTCTTGATGGTGGAGCCGAGGTCCTTAGTCAGCTGTGTCAGGTGCCTCCAGGGTCGGAAGTAGTCGTGCAGAGTCCATGGCGACATCATCGATGTTAGGAAGTCGTCTGGTGTCAGCGCCAGGCCGAATGCTTGGTCAAACAGCCTGTTGCCCCGTTTAGGTTGTGGTTGAGGGCATTTTTCTTCAGCTGTAGCGAAGTATCTTGCTCCGCCGAAAAGTAAGATTGCGATACTTAGGAAATATGTGAAAGACTTCATTTTTACGTGTATGCAGTGCGTAAAATGTCTGAGCGCTTCTTCGATGCGTTTAATGCGAATGCTTGATTCAAATTCACTGACAGCCGCCGAGTTACCTGCGTTTATATACGTGCCCTGACATCTAGCGGCGAGTAGAGCATTCTGGAATTCACTATTGTGTTCCTTGACGTGCCAGTACTGAAAACAACCACGTTTGTTGCTATGTTTACACTGCTTAGGACTTTATCTTCACAACATTGACATACAGCATTTTGATTGGTCCAAATAGCTTACCTGCTTGCATTTTATTGGGTGCCGTGTTAAGATTGTGTTATCAAAACATTGCACAATTATTACAGATAAAAATGTGTGATTACATTATCGGTTTAAATGGAACAATTACTGTTAAGTAAATTTTTATCACAACTATTATCATATTTACATAATTCTTGTAAAAAAAGGGCAGCTTTTAGAACTTTCTACAAACTATTTCGAAACTAGAGTGACATCTAGCGGGGAGTAGGTGTAGTTTTGAATGCAGGGAGACGTCCCGCCCGTTCCATTTGTCGTAGGAAGCCATTGAACTGATGTACGATTCCTGGCCTGCACACATGCATCCAGTACTTTCCAGTAATTTCTATAGTACCTATAAATTGTACTGATAGTTGTATGGACATAATACATACACAGGGAAAGAAAGAAAGAAAGAAAGATTATTTATTTGTAATGTATGTAGGGAGAGCCTTTGTTGTATCCGTGGAGTTGGAATTTTGGGTTTCCTTTCCTAATATGTACCGTATTATTACCGTAATATAGTATTTGGTCCGTATCTATTAACTAGTATATTCTTATAGAGTAGGTAATATATTAGATGGGACTGACGTGTGACCACTAATAATAAAAAATAAAAACAACTACTACCTACTATTTTTTATTTTTGTTCACTTTTCCTTGGTTTTTATTGAAGTATAGTCGACAACACCATTTTGGAGACTCGGTTGCCAAAGAAGGAAAAGAAATTTATAGAAATTGCGTAAACAAAATTCAAGGTAACATGTTTTATACCGTATAGCTAAGGTAAGCTTGATTGGTAAGGACTTAGGTACGTCTGGTCTAGGCACTTGAAGAAAACAAAGATACACATACAGGTGATTATGATTATTATTTGTATTATATGTTTTTTTTTGTTTTTTAAACTTTGGCCCACACTAGGATTTTCTCCTGTATCGTGGGTGCATTTATAAACATACAAGTTCACATACACAATGACACCCAGACACAAAACAACAATTTGTGGATCACACAAAGTGTTGTTGCGTGCGGGAATCGAACCCGCGACATGTTGCACGGCAGCCGGTTGCCCAGCCACCACACCAACCGTGCAGTTTTTAAGCAGCGGTGATTAAGTGTGGCATGAATGAGCCGGCTCGACCGGAGCAATACCACTGCTTTACAGAAAATCGACGTAAATCAACGCTTACGTTGTGTTTCGTCGTGTGAGTGAGGTTACCGGAACACTTATTACTTATTCGGGGATTGGGGAGACTGGAGAGGGGTCTCCAGTCTCCCCAATCCCCGAATCTTCCACAATCCTCAAATCCCGAATTCCCAAAAGGCTGGTAACGCACTTGTAACGCCCCTTGGCACGGTAATATTTTCATATTGGTGTTTCAGGTGTCCATGGGCGGCGCCGATTTCCCCTATACTTATTATACTCTTTGGCGCCGATTGCTTACCATCAGGTGATCCGTCTGCTCGTTTACCACATTACGAGTAATTACGACATAAAAAATAATAATTTAAATATCGAACTGAAACAAAGAAAAGGCATTTATTTGAGAGTAGGCACGCACAGAGATACAAAAATATAAAAAGGAAAAAATAATTAGGTACAGATACTTCCATAGGTAATTAAAAACAATAATAATAAACTAAAAAGAGTAATGACAAGAACAAAGAAACTATAAAGTAGGTAAGTATAACAAAATAGTGACAATACAATAATAAGACGTTATAATCTACCAATTATTTTCATTATTATTTATTAAAATAGCCTTTTTCCTGGGAAGATTTAAAAAAAGTCCGCTAGGGGCAGCACCAGTGGTTTTGAATTCTCTATTGACAACGGTCGGTAGTAACGTGGTGGCTGGCGAAATGGCTGCCGCGCAACGTGTCGCAGGTACGATTCCCGCACGGAACAACTCTTTATGTGATCCACAGATAGTTGTTTCGGGTCTGGGTGTCATGTGTGTGAACTTGTATGTTTGTAAACGCACCCACGAAACGGAAAATCCTAGTGTAGTCCAACGTGTATTTTCAGTAAAAAAAATTGTAAAATGGATATTAAATTGTAATTTGCATACCTACGTGGACATTTACTTTGTCCCTTTAGAGATTAAAATCTATAAGGCGAAACTTAGGTATAACGTTGAAACTACAACGTGAAATCAATTTAGTTTTCGTCCCGAAATAAAATGGTTCTGTCTTAGTACGTAGTTTTACTAAGAAATAAAATGTTTAAAGCGCATGTCAACTCATAGTACATTATCAAAACATCGCGTCATGTAATTCTCGTGAAGCATATTTCTCGTCGGGTGGTACTGGTACGTGCGATGCGAAAACTGCCTACTTTACGTCTAGTGTTTCATGTGCATATTAACATAAAGTATTTTTAATTAATAACATGTATTTTTTTATTTTTAGATATTTATTTTTATTTACACAATTTATTGTACACCATAGAAAAATAAACACAAAGAATGTGTACAAACCATTGTTTGTACACATTCTTTATGTGACCGCCCATTGGCGGTCTGTGATTTTTTACAGACAACCTTTTGATGGAGCCAGTAATCAGGAATTGGAAAAAGGGGGTCGTCTAGTGTACAATAATAATTAAACCAATACATACAATAAGTATAATACTATCTATACCTACATACCAAATAAATATAACTATATTATATTTTATATTTATAGTTTTTACTTTATACATCGAAAGTACTCCTTATGGCAAGTTGTTTTGCCGCGGGATGAAAAAGACATAGATTTCACGGTGTATAATCAAATTGTAAACTGTTTTGTATTTACAAAACAATATATCGCACGCTGATGATAAAATTATCAGGCAGTATAATATATTTTACGCGTAATTTATAATCATATATATTTGTAATTATAAAGCCTTACAAACAAACATTCTTCGTATATTGAAAAGTATTAGCAATTGTATATAAAGTATATAATTATATTTTTTTTGTAACTTATTAGTGTTATTAAGGGATGTTTTTCAATGTTATAAAGGAAATCGATGTCATTTTTGTGATACTACCTAAAGTAATCCTGGTCAAGCAAACGGAGCTGATATTTTCAGATATTCGTTTAAGATATTTAGTAATAATTATTATTTCATTCAGAGTAATAGAGAATAAATGACGTACTATACTAACACAATAATTCTAAACATTACTCAGGTAAGTATCTATTCTCTCAAGTCTAAAGGAATAACATAAAAATAATAACATAAATGTGTAGAAAATAATAAATCGCATTTTATTGATGTTAAGCTGTAAATAAATAACAACGCAACCAATATCTGTTCGTACAATTAGCTATGAATATTTTGTAAGGCCTTCATTATTATATGGTTGAAAACAAACATGTAATAAGTTTCTTTTATTTTATAAAAATATCGGTATTTTGAAAAGATAAATGTTTAGATACAAAGTGTAGGTAATGTTATGTACATTTATAGGTATTATTTGTCTTTTTTGTGTCATAGTACCGGCATTTCGCATTGATCCTTAAAATAGTGAGAGAATTTGAGCTTTGTATATTTATTTAGCCAGCTTTTGTTCGTGTGTCCGTGAGATATGGAGCCTTTGTGTTAATCCAGGGCTTATTCTAAGGTAGATTGAGATAGATGTTCAAAGCACCTCGATCTCTTCAGTCGATTTGACGCGATTGAGTAAAAATACACAAACATTCGCATTTATAATACCAGTAAGATAAATAAGCGTGGACACATGTATTCAAGTGTTTTTATAAAATCGATGGAGGGTGAACACTGTCCATAATTAATGCTATGAAATTTGTGTACCTACCTACTTATAGCGAGAAATGTTACCTAGCTTTTTTTTGAGGGGGGAAAATCATTCAATAACTTCTCTCGCCCGGGTGAGAATCCTACGTTCCTACTCCTGCACTTCGAGCCGGAGCCCCCACCCGTTAAGTCCTCCGCGGCTCCGTATCGGCATCAGCCCTATTGGGCCCCATCTGTACTTAATGCAACTTTGAATTTAAATAATAAGTGTTATTGTGTGTTGAGTGTTGTGACCGTGTTTTGTTTCTATATGTCAACAGAGTGTGATAGAACTTATAATTTTCTGCTCCTATGTATGTACATACATACGTCTGTGTTCTGTATTTGTAAGGTACTCGAAATAAAAATACAGTTTGTAAGAGATAAAATTAAAAAGAGATTATTTATTATAAAATAAACTTAAACCTAATTAAATACAACACAATTCAGTCTCAAAACATACGCTTTGGAATTGGAATTCGCAGTAATTAAAAAAATCTACGCGACTAGAGTAGAGGCACTACTTTACTTCTCAGCCACTCCGTTGCTGCTGCTGGCCTGGTCCTTGATCTCCTTGCGGACGGGACCAGTCTGTGAAATAGGCACCTTCCTCTCTCCCTTGATGGCTTCAGGGACCTTCCTGGGCGCTGTGATGGTCAGCACGCCGTCCGAAGACAGGCGAGACTCCACCGTCTCAGGCTCCGTACCCTCAGGCAAAGCGTACCTCCTCACGAACTGCCGACTGATGTAGCCATGGTCATCCTTCTTCTCCTCGTGTTTGCCCTCCACCACAATAAAGCCGTCAGCAGTCTTCACAGATATCTCTTCAGGTGCGAAGTGCTGTACATCCAGGTTGACTTGGAATTTATCCTTGTCGCTCTTGATGCTGGATCCCATGTCGCGGTTCAGAGATGCCAGTTGTCGCCATGGTCGGTAGTAGTCCTCGGAGAGCATGGGAGCTGCGACAGCCGTGAGGAGATCGTCAGGAGTCAGGGCCAGCCCGAAGTCCTGGTCGAGGAGGCGGCTTGGCCAGTAGTGGTGTGAGTGCATGTGGCGAGGGCGCTCGTAGCCAAGAACAAAAGGTAGCAGAGACATTTTGTTGAGTATTCTTCAACGAACGTTGAGAATTGAGTAGTTAGGTTTGTAGCGTAAAGCTAGTTTTCACTTCGATCGCTCGAGTATGAAATGCATGCCGGCTGGGAAGAACGCGCGGTTTATATACTCGCTACAGAGCGCCACCTAGTAGCGAGTAGAATTACTAGAAGCATCTCGAAAACGCCAGACGTTTCGGCGCGTTATGACGAACTCATACTCGCGCAACATGACTCACACATTGAAATGTTGTGCTAACAGCGCTATCTGGCGGCGAGTAGCGCATTCGAGAAATTTCGCTCGGGTGGGTGTGCGATCGATACTCGTCTGTGCACAGACGCGTAATATGTGACTCACACATTGATAAGTTTGCATGTATTCGATCGCTGAGTGGCTGAAGTCGGGAATTTTCGTGAAGTTCGATGACACTGACGTAATACCTAACGTAGCCGTGATGTTAGTAAACATGATAATGTAACAACAATGTTTTTTGTAAACAGATTATTCAAAATAAGGCGGCAATGACAAAGATGTATTGAGACATTCCCAGTTAGGTTTACTATGATACAATTGGATAGGTCAGTAATGCAATCAATCAAGCGAGAAATAGGTAGGTTAGACTAGAAGTGTATAGAAATGATAAGACTATAAACGAATGACAGAATTTATCAAAACGTGCTGTTTCATGTGAATAAAGTATAAATAAAATAGCTAAAAGATAATATATATTTATAAAAGATAATATATATTTATAAAAGATAATATATATTTATAAAAGATAATATATATAGTATATATTTTCGATTTTTTAAAAGACTAATAGTAGTTAACGGCTATTTCAGGAGTTTTGAGATTTCGAATTTCAAAATTACTCCCTGTTATTCCATTCTTGAAATATACAAATTAAATAGTTTATTCGAAATATCAAAAGGTTATCAGTGTGTTGTACATGAATCTATGTATATGAATAAAAATGAATATCCGTTCGTTAGTGTCGCTGAAACTCAAGAACGGCTGAACCGATTTCGCTTTAGTTTTGTTGTGTTTGTGGAAAGTAAAAATTAAGCGGGATGAAGTTTGCCGAGTTAGCTAGTAAATAAATAAAATAATGAATTTGACTGATTGGGGTTGAAGCTTTAGGGCCATAGGGCACAAGTACACATCTTCTTTACAGACATATTGTAAGGAGGATGGTTGAAGGTTGACACTTCAGGTGATCGAAGGGCTGGCTACTACCTTGGGCAAAGGTTAAGCATTGCCATTCAACGTGGCAATGCTGCCAGTCTTTTGGGCACCCTACCTCTCGATAGCGATGAGGAAAAAAATTTTTTGGTGCCTCAAGCCTAAGGTACCATTTTTATTATTTTTTAGGTGTTAATATTTTAGTTCTTAGTTGTTTGTATTTTAAGTTGTACCTATATATTTATTCATAATTAAGTTATTTGACTGATTTGAAACTACGCTTATTAGTTTTTTTTTAATAACAGTTGGTCTCTCTATTCATCTTCCACAAATTTCGTACTAACTTAACAGGTTCAAATCAACATCATCCTTGTCTACCACAACACAAGGTCGAATATGGCTTGTCTCGTTTTATGGGGGTTCGTTTTACATGACCTTGTGACAGAATATTGATCCACGAATTTACTCGACTCCATATAAGAGGGTAGAACTTTCTGGAATTTGCACGATACAAGGTCTTACCTACATACCTACTTACTCACAATGTATACGATTAACGATTCTTGTTTATATCTTGAGGTTCATAACTGCCTTATTTTGATCTATCCTTACTAATATTATAAATCCGAAATCGAGTTTGTTTGTTTGTTCCGCTATCACGCCGTAACTACTAAACCGATTGCTTTGAATTTTTGCAGACGTAAAGTTAGAAGACCGGATTAAATAATAGGGTACTTTTTATCCCGGAAACTTTATTGGTATTCCCGAGGGAAAACAAAAGTATTGGTATAGATGGCGCTGTATGTATTGGTATATGTCACATGGGCTACCTACTTTTTATCCTTTTGTGACGCGAGCGAAGCCGCGGGTAAAAGCTAGTATGGAATAAATAGACTTGAACTTGACTTTGTTTTGGCTCATAAAAGATAGATTATATTGACATGGTTTGGTGCATAGATATGATTTTTATTAAGGGGGAAAATCATCGAATGACTGCTCCCGCCTGGGTGAGGCAGGAGGGAGTGTCAGACTATTACTGACTAAAAACCACCCCGTTCCTTCTCCTGCACGTCGAGCCGGGCCCCGGTAACCCGTTAGGTTCTACACGACGAATAGATATGATAAATTTAATATTTCTGTGGTTTAGTGTCAAAATTTGTGAAAGTGTAACTATTCTTGATACATTAGTGATTAGCCAATAGCCACCCCTTTCTAACTCAAAGACATAATAGTTTTTTTCATATATACATATATTTGATGGGCCGACGTATGACCACTATTTCGCCTGGTGGTAAGCGATGATGCGGCCTACGATGGAGCACGTCGTCCCATAAGCAACCTATTCACTCGGGCCTTGAAGACACCCAGATACCCTTCAGGAAATACAGACTCTGGCAAAGAATTCCACTTCTTAGCAGTACGCACAAGGAAGCTTGAAGCAAAGTATAATGATAGTAGATACTATTCCTATCTAAGTATCCTACTATATAATATTAGAACTGTGAAAGTTTGTATGTATATTTGTTACGCCTTCGCGTCAAAATGGCTGAAGGGATAGGGATGAAATCTAAAACACGGGTAGCTTATGATCTGGAATAAGACATAGGCTATTTCTTTCCACGGGAAGATGCTAGCAGAAGCTAAAAGGTACATTGATAGTAATAGGTACATTAGAAACGAAATCTGGAATAAACGATATGCTACCTACTAGTACCTACATTACAATGGATAAGCAGTGTTGACTTCTGTCATATAGTTAACATGATATGTCCTTACGTAGGTACAGAGGAGACCATACAAATGCTAGGTACACTCAGGTATGCTATTTACAGGTATCTTCAAATAGACTTGGTTAAGTTCAGTTACCTTTAGGTATGCAAGCAGTTAGGATGTACCTTTCTGAAATTTTTACAATTTCACATCATATGATCATACAAGTGTAGATAAAACGATTCAAATAGGTAGGTATATAAAAAGACAAGTATTGCAAAAAATATGTAGAGGTATAATTTCACAATGAATTATTATGTTTTCGGTTTACTCACGTAATAATTTGAAGAGGAACTCGACTAGTTTCAAGCCATGCTAGATGAAGAAGAATTTATTTAGTATGTCTCACGAAAGTTACAATAAAATTTCATAATGATATAAAGACAGAAATTATTCATAAAATGGTATCAACGGTCGCCCCAAGTCAGCCCTAACCTTTCCATTAATCGCCATTCATACTAAACTTTAAAATGTCGTTTATCATTTATTTTGTTACATGGAGATTCGTATTCAGACTCAGACTGACCTTGGATGCCCAGAGGTTTAAAAAGAGGGTCCATTACACTTCAAGGTCACTTCTACCCTATCCCGCAATCCACAAATACGTCTTTGAAGGGGGATGTTTATACAAAGGAAGACCGAAAAAGTTCGTTATTTTTGAAACTTCAAGGTCAAAAGATATTATCGATTTTGATACAGTTTTGGTTGAACTTGTATGGAACTTAAGGTCTAACACACAAGTTCCATCATAGGCAATTACATTCAAGTTTTTAATCAATTACATTTTCATTTACCTACACATTAAAAGTAAGTACTAAAAATAAAGCTATTTTTGAACAGAAAACTGTGTATACCTATATAGTAATTTTTTTTTAAACTACGTTCTAAAACCGCCTACAATTCCATCTTTTTTTGTCCGCCGCATAAAAAACCGCAGTAAAATCAGTACCTACAGCCAATCGTAAGTCGTGAGATAATCGCGCACATACATACATACATTCATTCATACATACATACACACATACATAGGTACATAAATAAAGGTTAAACTCGGAACCTTCTTTTATTGAAGTCGGTTAAAATAATTATGATTAGGCATATACCTATCTGATTAAAAATGTTAAATGTATGAAATTACTGGTTACCTACCTACTCGAATTTTCCTGAAACATGCATTATGTATGAACTTGTTTACGATTAAAGACCAAAAATAGTTATCTTGGGTTTTTACCTATTTAAAACAATAAGTTCATTAGTTTTAATATTCGAGGTTTAGATACCTAGCTTCACTGACAGACTTAAGTACATTCAAATTCAATACTTTGAAATTCAAACTGTCAAAAACGACAGTTTTCTATTAATGTTGTACGAGATTCTGTATTGTGACATTACGTGTCACTTTTTAGCGGTTTTAGCGTAAAACAGAATTCGCAGAATTTGCTGGAAAAATACTAAAATTAATTGGGTCATAAAATCAATTACCGAATAACATCACGCCTTTTATCCCCGAAGGGGTAGGCAGAGGTGCACATTACGGTACTTAATGCCACTGTACAATGTAACACCCACTTTTCACTATTAATGTTACGAGTCCCATGTAATAGGGGGTGAGCCTATTGCCATATACCGGGCACATTTCCAGACTCCGTGCTACTACTGAGGTTTTTACAAACCCAGTAATACTTTGCCCAACCCGGGAATCGTACCCGAGACCCCTTGCCCGGCAGTCGCACTTGCGACCACTCGGCCAATGAGGCAATTACCGAATGTGTGATTATTTTTTAATATTTTATTGTATTGATCAGTCGAAATAATTAATTTTTGATTACGGAATGTACCCAATTATGGATTCATTGAAATAAATGCCTTGACTTTGACTTCTAGTAAATTGTCCTGACTTATAATATTTTTGAGGATCAAGAATTGGACGAAGGTTTTTTAACATATACTTAATTTTAGTAGGTAGGTGGGCTACTAGTTTAGGGTGACGAGTCCTATGTAAAAAGGGACAAGCACATTGCAATACACCGGGCATGATTCCAAAATTCATGTATCATAATCACTATAAATTAATGTCAGCTCATTTGAAATGAAGAACATGATACTATTCCTCATGTGATTAAAAATAAAACGATATAAAACAAAACTATTAAAATATTCTAGAAACACATTAATAATCTAGTCAAGTTGAACAAACACACATAAATAGTGTTGATTCATCATAGTCGTATAAAAATATAAACTGTAACAGATATCTTTCTAGATAATTCTTGTACAATAATCTTTAATTGTATGTCAGTATATTCTGCCAAGCGTGGAGATGAAACCAATCCATCATCATGTGCAGAGGAGGTCCACAAGTCCAGCAGTGGACTGTAGATGACGTCAGCAATATGTGTTGCTAAGCGGGAAAACTGGAGTATGACTGCATAGATTATATTCATATTAATTTGCAACTAAATTGTGTTGCCAAGCAAAACTCGTAAACGCTAATTCACTTTTGGTGTGTTGCCAGGGGATGCCTTTTATAAAAAAAAGAAAAATAAAAACACTGGAAATTTTTGGATATGGCCATTGAGACATCACGCCAGAAAAATAAATTAAACTGTTATGGACTATAGACTTTTTAATACCTAATAAGTGCACAATTGCTCGATATTATTTTTAATTGGTTGTGAAAAGGGCTGGTTTTGATTGGTTGAACATTTTTTTTATTTGCATTGGAACGCTGTGTTCAATAATTTCTATTTAATAAAAAAAACAGCGAATTAGGCTAATGATTAATTTTTGTTAATGTGCATGTAATTAAACAATTGTACTTGGTAAACACTTTGTTTCCAGAAAACATTGATAATATTAATAACAGAGTGATTCAGCAAAAAATACTATTGTTTACTTACAATGTAGGTTAGTAGTTAGGCAAAGGTGATGGGTATTATCCACCAGATAAACCATCAACCTAAGTGGTTATCTGAATTATTACGTCAGTATTTGTACAAATAAATAATTATTTCTTTTTAATTTCGTATAAACCACATTAAAATTAATAACTATTTTATTTATCAAACAACGCAATAACAAAACGCAAGTGATCATAGTCATAAAAAAAATGTCGAATGGAAATCGTGAACATTACATGTCTAGAAAAAAAACAGAGAATTCAATTTTCGAACATTTGTCAATTTAAAATTAAAATTATGGCACCAATTGTTCATACTTACGACCATAATTTTTTTTAAATATTATATGATTATTGTTCCATTTTTAAATATCAGTTTGTCCTTGGACGTGACCTAATACAAGGTTTCATTAATTCAGTCGCATGGAACGTTGTAGAAAACCATGGAATGTTTTGCTCGGGCGGGAGTTGCTAGTCGATATTCTCGGCGGTTCCTCGGCCGTTAACCCCGATAAGGACGAACAGCTGAACAGGGGTTCTCAAGTCGCTGTCTCACGGGCCGCTTTGTATGGAAATAGGTTTTTTTGTTTGTATGTCGAAAATATGCAAATTACTATCTCGAATTTTGTTTTATATTCAAATAATCTAAAATTACTATTTGAAGTTGTATTTATTGGTGTGCTTCGCTGATGTCACAATTTATAGAAACATTTTGTTGAATTCAAAGTAATTACGAAGATTAAAACCAAAAAATATTTCTAAATGGGTTAGTCAAATTAATTCTTCTTTTTTCTAAATTTGGAGGAATTCATTATATAAAATTATAAATAAATATGAAATAAAGTACATATTAAATCAGTGCTGCAGTGTAACAAAAATTAAAATTGAAAAAATTCAACAAATTGACTTAACATCATTTGCAACCCGTAGAGTTGAGCAGCTCTGTACTATACACAAACACAAACAACAGGTATAACAGCTGACTAATGTTTGGTTCGAGAATTTTCTACTGGATACGAGATGGCGCTGTTGCCAATATAAAAGGCCATCGAAGCGCGGCACGGGCATCAGTTTCAAAACAAGCGAACAAGTGATAAACAAACTTCTAGCGCTCTCAAAGCGACTCCGGGATATTTCCCAGCGATTTTTCTGAAGGAAGAAAGAAGTTGTTATTGTTTATAGAAAGCAAGTAAAATGTCTCTGCTACCATACTTCTTCGACGAATTCGGCTTCCAGCGCCCTCGCCGCTTGGTGGACCAGCATTTCGGCCTCGCTTTAACACCTGATGACATCCTCTCCGTTGCCGCTGGACCTTTTATGACCAGGGAATACTACAGACCCTGGAGACACCTCGCAGCAGCTGTTAAAGATCTGGGATCCAGCATTAAGACGGACGGAGACAAATTCCAGATTAACTTGGACGTTCAGCACTTCGCGCCGGAAGAAATCTCTGTGAAGACGGCTGATGGGTACATTGTGGTGGAAGCTAAGCATGAAGAGAAGAAGGATGACCATGGCTTCATCAGCCGACAGTTTGTGAGGAGGTACGCTTTGCCTGAGGGTACTACGCCTGAGACGGTGGAGTCTCGGCTGTCTTCGGACGGCGTGCTGACTATCACAGCGCCCAGGAAGGTTCCAGATGCTGTCAAGGGGGAGAGGAAGGTGCCTATCGCTCAGACTGGCCCCGTCCGCAAGGAGATCAAGGACCAGAGCAACAACACAGAAGAGAAACAGGAGAAGTAGAGTGTTTGTTACCTGTACCTCTGATTTTGTGTTTAAATGTTCATTTTGTGTCCCAAAGTTATGGCAGTGCGAAATAATCAATGAGACTGATTTAAATCTACATAATGAATGTAAATTTTTATTTTTAAGTGTTATTTAGTTAATAAATGTAAGCTTGTAATCCTAATAATTGTTTTATTTATTGTAGCCTTGCAATTAACGAATTTCTCTCGATCTTTTGAGAGCCATTTCAATGCATAAAAGGTCTCTTTAAAGTCACTACATAATTATTAAACACACAATATTCCCACACAGTTTAGTAACCCAAATATAACTACACATAACCTTATGAGATAATTATTATTTTTTAATAATAATAAACTGCATTTCCCCACGGACTTGTGTCCGTGCTCTTGTCATATTAGTTACATTGTTTTCCTGGTCAAATAATTGTTATAAAGATCTTATACGTTACGCTAATCACTAATTACACTACACAAAGATAACGGCGCCATATTCTCTCTTTTTTTGTCGCGGAGAACCAACGCGTAACCAGGGCTCCGGCTCGACGTGCAGGAGAAGGAATGGGGTGGTTTTTAGTCAGTAAGAGTCTACCACTCCCTCCCGCCTCACCCAGGCGGGAGCAGTCATTCGATGATTTTCCCCCCTTAAAAAAACACTAATTACAATACAAAGTATTTGAAATAATCCATTTATTTACAGATACATACTTTTCACCTAAATAACGGAGCTAAATGCTCTCTTTTTAAAGGTGTCTAAATTGCTTTTTGTCTTATATACGGACATACATTACCAATATTACTATAACACTAGTATCAGAAAATATTTATCAAGAAACAAAAAACAAAAACGCTATCTCCGCATCTTTGCTCCCAATTGTAGGTACATAATCATCAGGGACTAGGAAACTCAATGGTTAAGAGTGATAGACAAGACATGCAAAATGAAATAAACTACCTATTTCATATTTACCAACTAACAGGCATCAATGTCAAAATTGTTATGATGAATACAAAGAATGCTATACTCTGTTGGAACCAAAGAAGGATCATGTTTCATGTACAACAATGTACTAGCTTAAATTCGTCATTATGTCGTGGTGGCCCGGAGGTTAAGGACGCTCGCTTCTCATGCACCAGGGCGCGTGATCAAAACCTATCAACGACAAGTGCCTATGTGACTTTTCCGAGTTAAATGTACTTTCTAAGATTATTTAGACACCACTGACAAACGGTGAAGGAAAACATCGTCAGGAAACCTGGGCTTATAATTTTTAAGTCTCAAATCCCCAACCCGCATTGAGCAAGCGTGGTGATTAATGCTCAAATGCTTCTCTGTGAAGCCTTTGTGCCCAAGTGTCACCAGTTTAGGCTGTTGATGCGTGTGATTTGTAGTTTACATTCTGAGACATCATCGCATTGTTTTGTTTGACGCTCGCATACCTAATTAATAAACACGTTCTGTAAACCCGATATATAAATAGAGGTGTGAATCTATCAACATGTATGATTGATGATAAAATAAACGTGATGCCTGTATATTTTTAGCATGGATGTGATCAATGTTGAATGAATGGTCTTCCCTTACAAAATTATAGCGAGCGACTTTAAAAATTGTATATTCATGAAGATAAGTTACTTTAGCTATGTTATGATAGGTATGAAATAGCTCATGCGGCATAAATGGAACACAAAACACACACACGACACACAACAAATCACTCGACATTATGTTTCGCTTCTCCACGAAGCATCTTCCAGAGTTGTAGACTCGGCGGCTCGGGAGTGCCACATCTCTGCTGTCTGAGCATTAATCTGTGGGCGGGAGGGTAACACCACCCTATATAGCATACAGCGGAATAAAAGTTAAATATTTTTATTTTAGTTGTTAGTGTACAGTGGCGTAACTAAAGCGTGGTAACGCGGCAAAATACCACGGGCCCCCGGCTGAAAGGGGGGCCTCGTTCAGAGGTTTTCATATGAACTTCTCTGTTTTTTACTAGGAACGGGGGCCCGTCCGATAAATTTGCCATGGGCCCCGAACGTTATAGTTACGCCACTGATAGTATAGCATTGATTTCTACAAAATAACGCCTGACTCTATTCTATATACAATGAATGTAGGAAATATTTCGCATTGCGTGTATAATTTCGACTTAGTCTTTGTGGACATCATTTTTCAGTCTAACTGCCATAAGTAGGCGTTCCCCTAATCAATAATAACATCCATCTAGCTCCTGGGCTATTATATTAGTAGATATATTCGCATAGCAATTAAAATATTAGGTAAAATACAAGAACACGAAAAACAGATAACACCTCAATCACATTTTTATTTTTCTGCTCAATATTTGGCGAATGAAGAAATAATTGCTATTACTTTTTAGTAAGGATGTATCTGTATGTGTTTGTGTCGTAACCTCTATCTAGCATAGCAAGGAAGTGATTAAAGTATGGCCTAGAAATGGAATTTCTTTCTTCCCTCACAGTCCATTTATATCAAGCTCTCATCTGAAGACGCCCACCTCTCATACATGAGGGTGCGGGTTCGAAACCTACCAACGGCAAGTACCAATGTGACTTTTTCCGAGTTATATGTACTTTCTAAGATTATCCAGACACCACTGACAAACGGTGAAGGAAAATATCGTGAGGAAACCTGGGCTTATAATTTCTAATTATAAGTTTGTAATTGCCAACCTACATTGAGGAAGCGTGGTTATTAATGCTCAAACCTTGTCCGTGCGAGAAGAGGCTTTGCTCAGCAGTGGGCATATAGGCTGTTGATGATGTCGCGGAGAACCTAACGGGTAACCGGGGCTCCGGCTCGACGTGCAGGAGAAGGAACGTGGTGGTTTTTAGTAAGTAAGAGTCTTACACTCCCTCCCGCCTCACCCAGGCGGGAGCAGTCATTCGATGATTTTCCCCCCTTCACAAAAAAGGCTGTTGATGATGATGATGTGTCTGTGTATTGCACAAATTTGTGTAATATGTAATTTAGCTAGATTCGCTAGGCTTCGATTGGATACAAATAAAACACAAATATTGTATGAATTCTCTTTATTTAGCTACAACAAAATGACATAAGATGCACGACGCGCGCGGGCGACGCTAAACAATACAATTATATATGACATTATGTAAGTATTTAGTGTATAAAACAAGTATTTTTAATCTTTTAGAAGCTCAGTTACGCATATCACTACGGTGCTGTGTATTCACATTTTTTATTTATTTAATTTTACCTCTTCAATATCGGTTTGGAAATTTTATTTTCATTTATTTTTACTTTAGTAAAATAATCTTGCAAAATATGATAAAATATATGAGAATCTAAATTGGATTTTTCGGAATAAGAGTTTGCTTTAGTAGGTTATAATTTTTTTATATTTTTAATTTATTTTAAGCAATTTTATTTTTATTTTTAGGTGTGGGTTTTGGAGGTAAGGTAAGTAAAACAGGGAGAATTGATTCGTGGAGTCAGTTTTAAACATTGAGGTATTTTTTTGTAATTGGTATCGATAAACAGTTAAGAAAATTACCTATAGAAAATGGTTATAGAAAACAGATTCTACCCTAAAAGTTTTTAGGACGGAAATACATTACCTTAACTTTTCAAGTACGAAAATTTTATCTGTAGGTATTTTGCAAGAGAATATTGTAAAAAGTCCTCTTTGAAGGCAATTTTCGATTCCCAAACCGATATTAAATATATCTACGATCATTAATATTGCTATACATCGACACTACATGAAGTAGCTGACACAATAGATTACCTAACACACATTAAAGCGAATTTAAAATTAAAATTAACAGCAACAGTTTAATAAACAAGAATAAATTTAAACACTAAAAGTAATAAAAATAAATTATTAATAAGTAACATTACAAAAAACCGCCAATCGATATTATTTTACCACAGATATTTTTAATAATAATAAATATATTTTCGTATCTCGATAACAATAGTGAATAAATTCCAATCATTTTTTTTTATTTGTGATATGTTTTTATTTGTTAAAATTATGAAATTTAGTACAGTATGGGTGCGGATAGTAAACATTTTTTGTTTTATAAATTATATAGTTTCCAGTGTAGATAGTATTAGTTTTATATTCTCTATATACTCTTATCAAGGTACATGGAAGGCATGAGGCGTGTGCACTAACAATATTCGTCCGAAATAAAGGACATATTCAATAAAAACACAGTTTCTATACTAACCAATAAATTATTAACATCTTCATACTTTACATTTAAATGAAAGTCAAGTACTTATACAATTAAATGAACCAACATTTTTTTATTTAATATTAAATATCATTAAATACGACATCTCGATTCTACAACAGAAATCAACATTTAATTTATTAAGAAATATTTTTCTAATTTCTCTTGTAAATTTATTTTATATTATAACTACATTTTTTTTCTAAATTCTAAGCTACATAAAGATGTACGCCATACTGCTTTGCAACATCTAATGCTAGAAATACAATAAGTATAAAATTGAGCTTTGTTGATATGTATCGTTACAATTAATCTCAAAGTTTTCATTTTGATATGCATGTGTTACTTTGGATCACTACATTAAATGAAATGAAATTAAATGAAATAATAAATACATTTTTTCAACATTAATATTTTTTTTATAAATTAATTAATACAATCATTCTAATATATTACATAAGTAAAGTGTGATCCAATAAAAGCGTATTTTACAACATTATATTTTTAGAAATAAGAAGGGATTTCTTTCGTTTAATGTCGACAAACATTATTTCACTTTAAATGAACATGTATTGTAACAAACATGAAGCGTGTTTGTGCAATAATTTCCTAAGCGATCGGGCCATTGTTTAAGTTAGATATTTTCAACTTAAAAAGCCGTGGGCCGACATTATATTGCTCTTTTTGGTGAAATAAAGCTAATATGGAAGGATATACACAAATAATGTGTACTTTTGTGTTATAACTTATTATTTTTAAATATTTTGTGACATTTAACCCGTTTTTGTAACTTTGTGTTATAGCTTATAGTATTTTGCAACCTATTTTGTTTAACCTAAGCCTTTAAAAGGTTTTTTAATAATGTTTTTACCTATACAAATGTATAGGCCACGCTCAAAAAATCTGGAAATAAGTTCATGTATATTGAATTTTTCTTTAATTTTTTGAAAGGCTTAGGTCATGCAAAATTTTTGATTGTTTCTTTGATTAAATATTAGGTACTTATAAACTAAATGCATTCGCTTCAACATTGGATGTTGTTGATTTCGAAACTCATACACTTACCTATTTTTTATTATTAAATGGAACTAAAAAACTGAGAATCAATTCAGTTGGAAGGTACTTACCTACATAATAATTTATTTAAAACACATTATTTTCCCTTTATTCAAATATAATAACATCACATTAATTCACTTAACAAAAATGACATTTCTTTACATTAAATTATTTCATTTAATTTTCACTTCATTTCATGTGACATAATTTGTTTAGTGAATTAATGTGTATTTTGCATTAAATTTATAAGTCCAACGTTGAAATATATTATGTTGGATTTATTTTTACATGGCTGGGTACCTTTCGTAGTTAGTAAGTACTTTAAAAAAAGAGAACCCTTACTACGCCAACGATGAGAATGTGGTGATTTTAGTTCGTTTAACATTAATGCATTAATGTGATATATTTTGTGTTAAGATGATAACATATAGAATGAAATAGCATTAAAAGGGTTTTAAAGTAATAGTAAATGATCAGGATTAATATTTATTAATAGGTATATTCTGAGATATTACTTCCTAAACAGATATGTCACCAGTTCCTTCGAATTTTAAAGGTAATTTATTTTTATTGTATGTTAATAGAATGAATAAGTAAACAATAGACTCATGATGTACGCAACGGTCCCGAAAAACACCGACATGTGATGGTCAAAAACAAGTTTCATTTTCATGGATTTAAATGTTTCTTTTGTGTAACAATAGTTGTAATTAACTGCTCAAAGTTGCATGAAAAACACGATTAAATTTGCAAAAACAATTTCTTTTTGTCAGCGCTTCAGGAGAATAGCGTGTAGGTATTTACTTATTTTAATCTGTTATACAAACGATTAATGCTACTGAAGATTAGATTTCGTAAATTTGCAATAAATACTGCAAATGTACTCGAATCCGAAATAATTACATGTTTTCTTAAATAAACAGACAACAATTATATAATAACTATCGTGAGACATACTAAATTAACTAAAAATGCGGGTTACTCACGTGAATATACTGAAAAAAGCTCTACTAGTTTCGAACCAAAGTGAGGTTCTTTCTCATGGACATAATTCAAACGCGCGTGGTGTCCGACAGAGTGCGCGATGCGCTCGCAGCGTAAGTAACAGCACCGATGCAGGCGTTAACGCTAGCCAGTAGGCTGTCGCGCACGCTGCTCATAAAGAAGAACCCCTTTGTGGTTCGAAACTAGTAGAGCTTTTCTCAGTATATTCACGTGAGTAACCCGCGATTTTTAGGTAAGTCAGAAACAGTGCTTCAAACTTAGTTTAAATGAATGAAGTATTTTTTTGTTATCCTGTAAATCTACTTCAGACTGAATATACAAAAGCGAAAATTGTAAAAATAGCTAAGAAAAACCTAAAATTCCAAGGAACTGCCAACAGTTAGACATTAGTCAGAGAGGCATTAACAGTACATTCTAAACATTTCTATACTTTAAAGATTCTTTTAGAACACAAGAGATCTACGTCTACTTCAAATTAAAGCTTTATTCTTTACCAATTTACATTACATATATTATGTCGTGTAATGTACAGGGAATACATTTATCTAAGTGTATTTTCCTAATTATATAGAATCGTGTTTCGAACAAAACTCTGTGATAGCATTGTGTCTGATGAGACCGGTTTTTTTTTATTTCATAAAAGAAATGGATTCCAATTTTTGAATAACGAATAGATTAACTAGATAGAAAGAATAGCTTACATATTTTTTTTATTTTTTCAGTGTCTTATCCATTCCTGTACATAAATTACGTGAAATGTTTAAGGGGGGAGGGGATAGACTCAAATGTCATCTAATCTTACGCTGGAGAGAAAATCTTACGGGGGAGAAAATTACGTAATTTTTTTTCTGATTGAAACAAAAAAAATATGCTATTTTATTTAATCATCATTTCATTTAATCCAGATTGTACATGCTTAAGATTTAATTGTACATGTAGGTACTTGGATTTTTTCTTTTTTTTACAATAACAATCCAACGCGACGTGAAGAACCAACATTTTGAAAAATCTCACGTGAGAATGGGGGATGGGGGAGGGTGTTGAATAAAACCTCACAAATCTCACCAGGGAGATAGAGGGACAGCAGACAATTAAAAAAAATACACCTCACGTAATTTATGGACACCCCTAAAGAAAATCAAAGTGCAAGAAGTAAAAAATAAGATACATAAGGTACAACGAAATCTCAAAAAACAACAAAGAGGTTTACACTCCAAAATATATCGAAAAAAGAGAACGTCAAGTAATATCTTGTATAAATCTGATTGCACGGTTGGTGCAGTGGCTGGGCAACTGGCTGCCGCGCAACGTGTAGCGGATTCGATCCCCGCACGGAGCAACTCTTTGTGTGATCCACAAATTGTTGTTTCGGGTCTGGGTGTCATGTGTATGTGAACTTGTATGTTTGTAAACGCACCCACGACACAGGAGAAAATCCTAGTGCGGGCTAACGTTTTTGTTTAAATAATAATATTCAGACTAGGATACTTAAAATTCAATTCACAATAAGCAGCCACTGTTAAACCAACTAAACATCTATATGTCAACTGTTTTGACCACGAGTTGATTAAAACATGTTCTAATAAATAACCATCAGCAAAGTTTTGCTCGGAACCACGTATTCTCTAATAGTGCATTCACATTGATGGATTATAATATATCTATATAACAGTCGACTAACAGAAGGGCGATCACTACACCAGACACTAACTAATCTAAGTTAGGAGAAACCAAGAACAACAAGGGTTTCAATATTGCAGACATATCTGTGAACCGTGATGAAGATAAAACGTCTTTTAATGATATAAGTGAAGAGGTACATAATGATAAACAGGATCCAAGAATATCTGATGAAGATTTTGAATCTAATGCAGTAATAGATAATAATCTTAGAGTACAGTTTGAATTGGAAGATAGTGATGAGATTGAAATAAATCTCACCATTAATGAAGAAAGAAATAAAAAAAATACAGAGATGAAACGCTTGACACTATTGTTTTGTGGATACACAAGTGTAAATCTAATAGCATTGATTTTGAAATTGATTCAAAAATACTTTTTTTGATCCAAAAATGGAATTTAGATGTACTTAAGACTAGTTGAGAAAGTAGAAGAAATAAAGATAAGTCAATGTCTGCAACATGAAACAATCTACGCTACCGGAGATACGAACCCAAACTCTAACAGTGTAAAAGGCGTAATACACTTATTTACAAAACCCAGCCTTTAAGATCGACCTACAAGCACCAGTTCTAAGTCGAAAATAAAACGAAATACAACTATGATATGTTTCATATAATCTTGTCAGTCTTCAAACTACTTCTAGATTCAGTCCTAAGCTAACGGATTTTATAATCCCATAAGAAGAGGACGCGATATTTCCAAAAATGAAATCACCAAAAAGCTTCATCGAATCATAATAAGTACATCCAATATCATAATACACATCTCTAGAAAAATATTTAAGTATAATTGCATCAGCAACAAGTTCATTTAAATTATTAAATATTGTAATACTCACAGCTTTTATGATATGTATCATTTCCTTAATATTATTTACATCTATAAAACTTATATCTATTTCATTTGTGATATGTTTTACTCGTGAATTACTTGAAGCAAGTGCATCGTGCTGATTGTCAGTGTACTTAACAACATCTACTAGTCTAATATCAATAAATTCATCGTAACATTTTAAAATAGATATAAAATTGATATTTTCTTTTAAAAAATATCTTTTGAAAGGAACGATGGCTAACGTTGAAGGATTGCGTCCTTCGAATCTTAGCTTAATAGTGAATAAATTCGACAAAGAATTGACGAAAATGTTGAAGAAAAGGACAGCTTTGATGAATGTAATAGTGTCTTTGAGGTTGTAGAGGATAGTAAGGAGAATTATGGTTAGGTAGAAGAGCTTGACTGGCTTGTGGGAAGTAATGGCCGAGCTGGGGGGCGTTGGGTACACGACGTCGACTTCAGCGATCTTGAAGATGGAGAGCAGAAGATGGGAGGAGATGTCTTCGTGCTGGGAGTTGATGCGGGACTTCACGACTTTGAGGACGTCGATGCATTCCTCCTGTAAGTTCATTAACAAATAGCCAATATTGTAGCAACGTTATACACTTATGGCAGTTACAGTATCAGTTTTGTTAGATATATAAACGCCTGTATGCATTTGATCCTATAGTATAGTATGGTAACAATATTCTTGAACTAGTATGGACAAAAACATTTAGCAATCGCTGTGTATGTTTTCTTTATATCATCACTCGCTTTGCATTTGTTAAAACGTTCTTTCATTGACTTGTGACCACGATCAAATGTAACGTCTTACGTGAGTCTAAAAGCCAAGTCAACTTCGGCTTCAAATCTTTTCTAGTTATTAGGTAATTGTTTACTTTTCTCAGTCCATAATATCCCATCTTTATTTCAAGGACTTACCTTTTCCCTGTCCAGCAGTGCGTCTCCAGCCTCCCTCAGCATCTCCTGCTCCCGTGGTGGGACGCTCGCTGAGATGATCACATTCTCGTTGCTGATGTTGAACAACGTCAGCGTGCAATTCGTCTGCAAGAGTTTAGAATAATCTTATTTTGAACAATTTGCGTTTCTTGGGGCGGCAAACGAGCCGATGGATAACCTAATGGTTGCAAATCTCCCCGCTTATGGATACCCGTAACAGCAGTGATAACGGACCTTTGAATACAGGGTGGGAATTGGGGCGTTGGGCCGTGAAGATTATTACTATGTATAGTGAAAATAAATTAAATTCGCAATCAAATAGTTTTCTACATAGTTGTAATACATTTGATACTTCTGATGCTGTGCTAATAAATAATCTACTAGGTAATTATTTTATGTTATCTCGCATATTTTTTATATTATTTAGATCTATTTATACATGTTTCGCCATCTATCGAGCACCGTGGACAATTTTGACATCGTAGGCAGATTATTATTTGCGCCCATTAGCGCCCATTGCATCCGCATTGTGTGGATACTAAATGAACTAAACGGTATTGAGTTTGGCTTTATATTCCGTACTGCCGTACTCTGAATGCTATTGTAACAGCTATAATTGTGGTTGTATAGTTTTGACATTGAATAATTATTGAGATTTTATTGGATTGAAATTGCATTGACATTGAGATTGGTTTTAAGAGTAAGCACCCTGGTCAGGTTAGAAAGAATCATGTGCCCCAAACTTACCCCCTCACTGTGTACCGTGTAAAGGTACTGCTGCAAAAGACGCACAGCATCTTCAGCTCCTAAGCCAGTGTGTGGCCGAAGAAGAGCTTCATCCACTGCGCTGAAGCCCAGGAGTAGGTAGACGCCTTCTGGTAGCTTGTATTCACCTGGAATTATGATATTATTGATTTAAACGGTTAAAAAATTGTAAGTAGATAGTAATTGCATGTTGTGTCCAGTTAGCAGAGGTGAAAAAAATAAAGGAAGTGGTATTTAGAGCCTCTGGTCTTGAATTAAGTGGTATTTCTCCAAGAGTGGGTAGGCAGCGGTGCACATTACGGTATTTAATACAACTGTACAATGTAACACCTACTTTTTACTATTTATGTTATGAGTCTCATGTAATAGGGGGTGAGCCGATTGCCTCCCGGGCACAATTCCAGACGCCGTGCTACTACTGACCAATTAAAAAAAAACCCAATAATACTTTACCAGAGTTCCTTTACCCAGCAGTTGCATTTGCGACCATACGGCCAACGAGGCAGTCCAACTAGTGTAATAATAAATACCAAGTCCAACCACTAAATAGTGTATCTAATAATAAATAGTGTTAGGTACTCAATCTAATTATTAGTGATCTTGTAATTTGTTATCTTTCAAGTTCTAGTATCTACAACGTGGGTGAAGTTCGGTGTTTAATAACTAGAGAATTGCATTGTGAACCTGAAAACGAGTAACCTATGGAGTTCCTTGCTTGTTCTTCTCCACAGGAATCTACACTTTGGCAATGAGCAAACGGCTTCACTTTAAATTTTTTGATGTTCAAAAGTGAATTTCTGGTCTAATTGAAATAAATGATTTTGACTTTGACTTTGACTTTGATTTCGAATCAATATTTTCAAAATGACAACAATTTGTGTGTTCCTCAAATTGTGTGGTCATTGTGTATGTGAATGAACTTGTATGTTTGTAAACGCACCCACGACACAGGAGAAAACCCTAATGTGGGGCAACGTTTAAAAAAATGGTGTTATAATAAATATAATCTGCTAATAAACCTCTGTTATAGCTATTAGTGGTACATTTGCAATAATTTGGCTTTTTCTACATAGTGATTAATTGTGCCTGTACTTCAATATTGCGTGAAAAAAAAATAGAAAAGAATAACAAAAATAATGACTGACACAGTTTTTACCTTTAACCTTACCTGGATTAGGCCTCATGCAGATGAAAGACCCAGAATAGCAGTAGCATCTTCCTCTATAGGCCTGGTAGGCTGGTGCAGCATGAGAGTAGTGGGCTAGGCGAGAGGAACATGGGGCTCGAGGTACACAGGCCACCTTGCAGGATACCTGGAGCGTGGCCTCGCAGACGCACAGGTCTGTGCATTCTGCCAGCTCAGCTGAACGATATAGCTGGAAATTTAAGAGGTACTCTGTAAGATCAAGATAGGCGTGCGAAATACGCTGAGCAGGCATCAAATACTATTATAATGAATTGTTAATGTCGAATGTCTTTTTTTGAAGTCGTTTACCGACTTCAAAAAAAGACTTTTAAAGAACACTCTGAAAGAGATGTTCAGCTGATTGTTTTTTTTTGTTTGTTCGCGACTTCCTGGCACTGACTTCTTACCTATCAGTGGGTGGGTAACCTATCAGTCTATCAGTACTAATAATAGTTATTTTTTGCTTTTTAGTTTTGACTTTTTGTTTGTTATTAGTTTTTGGTTTTTTGAAGTCGGTTTTTTTAAACGCAGTTTTCTTTAGTAAAATGTAATGGATGACTTTTATCAAGTAGGAAGTCTACAATCGTAGCATTAAAATTTGATTGCTGTCCTGAACGCTATTTGAATATAGGATGCTTAGTTTTTTTCAGAGTTGATGAATACTAGTCGATTAAAATACATAATAGCTTTGGACGTATGCGTTCGGATTCTTTTACTACGAAATACGTTTTACTGAGCAAATTATTGTTCAATAATTATAAATGTTTACAAAATACATTATTGAATATTAAGAAAATGAATACTTACTCGTCGAGTTTCACCCATCTTGATGTACTGCGCCTGATCATCACTCTCAGGCTTTTTCACGATGCAATATTTAGTCGGTTCCAGCGTAGTAGTCGGTCTCGGTGTAGTCGTAGTAGTCGTGGTAGTCGTAGTAGTCGTCGTCGTCGTAGTTGTCGTAGTCGTAGTAGTCGGGGCTGTTGTAGTTTCCGTCGTAGTTTCAATTACGGGTTCGGAGATCTGCGCCACTTCGTTGGGTCCCACCGTCTGTTCCGACATGGTGGTAATTGGGCTTAGTTCATCTCGGTTCTCCTGGAAATTTAGCAGAATATTTGTAAAAGCATGGAATTTAAATGATGGATTAAAAGTAAGTTTTGGGTCGTGATATGCGTGATATATATGTATAGCTTTTTAGAAAAAATACAGTGTTCTTTACTAAAAACATGTCAAATGAAATTATGTGTATGTATTAGAAAGTGCACCGAGAGGAAAAAGAAATTACTAAGATTACTTTCGTTAGTGGATGACGTTGTGTTATGATCTAGTATTTTAGAGGATTTTTGGTTAAGGTTACCAAAATGATTTGAGAATTTCTTGGATGTTTAGGATTATTAATTTTGCTTATAGTAAAAATGGGCATATAGTAAAAATTACCTGAATAGTATCAATTTGAGAGCTCTTATCCTGCGTAGTATGGCGATGGTGATGGGTGGTAGTACGATGGTAGATCGGAGATTCCGGCGCAACCGTGATGTAGCGGATACCGTTGTCAAATGGCGTGGTCGTCATCAGCGGGCCGTAGGTCTTCATGTGGTAGTCGCTTTGAGATTCCACTGGAATTTTTAATGATGGATTAGAGATCTAGAGGAGCTAGGTTATCAGAGGTACCCAGAGTTTAGTAAAGTAATGTTAAATACTTAAATAGACCCTTAACTGCAACTTTCTCTAGATAACCATATTTTGTTCTCATTCAAAAGTGCCTTATTAGTCTAATTCAAGTGTGGGAGAGCCATGCTTCGGCACGAATGGGCCGGCTCGACCGGAGTGATATCATGGCCTCACAGAAAACCGACGTGAAGCAACGCTTGCGTTGTGTTTCGTCGTGTAAGTGAGGTTACCGGAGGCCCAATTACCCTCCCCTTTCCCAATCTCCCCAATTCCTGAATCCCCAACGATCCTCAAACTCCTAATCCCCAAAAGGCTGGTAACACACTTGTAACGCCTCAGATGTTCCAGGTGTCCATGGGCGACGCCGATTGCTTACTATCAATCGATGCGTCTGCTGGTTTACCGGCTTATGTCATAAAAAAATTAGAATAAACTTATCGTGGTCTACAAGATTTTTAGCAAGATTCAATATTTGTCAATTATGACTTGATATTAAAATAATATAAATTAAATAACAAAACAAAATGTAGCTCACCAACGCAAGGATTAAGCCAGAGTAGTCGTTGCCACCCAAGGCAATCATACAGCTGGGCGAAGTCAGTGCCACGGCAGGCACACGCTGCTCGCAGCTGGGTGCCTAGTACTGCAACCACGGCTGCCCTGCAGGCGGCTGGAGAGCCTGCACAACCTTGGGTAACTGCGTCCACTGCACACCATTGCTCGTAGTTTTCTAAGCGGATCCTGGAAATTGGATTTGTTAAAGAATTTGTGTGGACCCGGGTACGTCCTAAAACTACGATCAGACACGGAGGAATGGGCCGCAGCATTCAATAAATACATCGGTGACCTAACTGCGATCCCCAAGCCGCCTGCCAAGCGTGGGGATTATGGATTAAGGGGGAGGCCTTTGTCCAGCAGTGGACGTCTTCCAGCTGTTGATGATGATGAAAGAATTTGTGAAGAATGTGTTGCTATGTGATGTAGAAGATATTGGATTAAATGGTAGTGAATTCTCACAAATTGATATTCGCTGAAATAACAACTAGGTGTTTAAGAAAAAATATACAAAAATAAGAATTGGGTTATAAGAAGAAGTTCCCTAGAAAAATGTACATATTGTTATTTTATGGACAGCTCAGGTTATATGTCAAAAAATTAAAATTGTAGTTATTGGCTGCTGATATTTAATAATAGCCCATTTACTAATTAACAAGTGTACCAACAAAACTTCTCAATATCAAAAACTTCCATAAATACATCCATCGATTTCTCATAACCAAAATAACGACTACATAAATCAATACAACTTGAACGTACAAAGTCTACGAACATTGAAAATCTCGAAATATTCAGTTTCATAGTGAAATCCATGGGAAAATCTAGCACTAACATGGTCGTTAGTGAGTGTTGTGGATCGCAACGGATCTAACTAAGTGTAGCTTGGTTTAAGCTAAAAAATATGGAGATATGCTGCGTATTTCTGTGTGGTTTTAGGTTTTAAAAATTTGAAGATGTTTACTGACAAATAGATGACTTCTGTTTTTACATTACGTACGTAGTATTTCGTTTATATGTCTTTTCTTAGGAAACGGGTATTTTAACTTAAATAACTCGTCGTTTCCATCTAAATTCCTTAGCTTAAACCAACTTGTTATCACTAAACATCAATTAGTCAATCACCAATTTAACTTAAATAAGACTTGTATTTATTGGACGAAATCGGTAGAAGTGATTCTTAAAATACATCTACTTTTATAGTTAATATTATGTATTAGCTTTATTATATTTCTAAATATTAGGCACAATAGGGTAGATGCCAGATGCCTAATTTTTATTTTAATGTCCGTCTGGTCGATTATTTTAAATCATTAGACACGTATTTTCGACGATATATTGATTTGAAATGTCGCGTGACGTCACTTGTATATAAATTTTATACGTAGAAATGACGTTTTAGCCCCCATTCCTAAAGATTCGTTTTATCGAAGTATTATTTTATTATGCAACAAAAAAAAATACGTGTCTAATGTTTTTTCATTACTTATCTTACGGACTAAATAGATTTTTAATTTTCATACCCCGTTATCATCCCAATTCCATACTCTTTGTGATTACTGAACATCTAAATCTTCCCTAGATTTTAGAATCATTTAATCTAATTGGCATTACCAAACAACTGCACAGAGGCACCTTCATATTCAAAACCCCCTCCTCTTTCACAAACCATAGCTGTCCATTTGTCCCATCTTCATCCTATCAATCACGGTCATTACATCGCTAGTAGGCAAGTGATGTCCAATCAACTAGGTACCACAATTGGAATGACTAAGGCCGGTCTAATTCAGCCTGTGTTTCTAGATTGGCTCTTGTATGTGGTCATAGTGATTTCGACCTTATTGGAGTGGTTTGCTGTCAATTGCGATTTGATATTTGCTTGTTGGCTTTTTTGAAGGAGTATTCTGTTCTGTACATTTTGTCAATGGATTGATTATGTTTATACGTCTATCAGAAGAAAATTGTTTTTCGTTTGAAATTGTTTTGTGAAAAGGGTTTTTTCAAGTATGTTTGACTTAGGGCTCGTACACAAAACTGCGATGCGTTGCGATGCGAACTCGCAACGCAGAAAATGACGATGGGAATTGCTGCGATGCGATTTCGTGCGACAAGGCGTCTCCCAGGTTGACCATTCCTTCGACGACCGTCAACCGTACTAAACGTAATTAAATTGAAAACTAGATCGTGACATGGATCGTAAAAAGAAGTGTGCACTTCTGTTATTGCTTAGGAGATACAGGAAAAAGAAACAAATAAGATTTTGGGAAGATAAAATTTTGATGCGCGATGTTCAATTTGCAAGTTCTTGCGATGCGTAGAGGGAGATGGCACATTTTTTGATGCGACGTCGCATCTCAGTTTTGTGTACGAACCTTTATATTTTATTACATGAGATTTGAAACGCGAGTAAAGGCCATCAAGATTGTCAAGGTGATAGTTAAAAATTGTAATTAAGTCAGTAATAATAGGGTTCAATTCATAATAACTGAAATGAATGTAATTTTTAAGACAAGTAATACGTAAGAGTAGTTCCTATGTATGTTACCGTTGACCGATGTTTATACCTATTAATAACTAAGTTATCTTTTTAATACATTCTCTATTTGTTATATTTTTTCCAGAAGACAGAAATACTTTAATAAAACAACAACTATAGTGATAGAGAAGATAAACGAACCTGCACTCCGGTTCTTCTCTGCAGGCATGCGCAAGAGTGTGGCAAGCTGGGAGCGGGGAGCCCACAGCTGGGCGCTGCGCACACGACGGGTGGAGACGCTCCTGAGCGTTCATGCACGAGTCCTCGCGATTATCAGTTTTCCTGGTGAACATAGCAGGATTGTCAAGTATGCATTTGAAGGTATTATTTTTATCTATAAAATGGGTCGGTGTTTGGCTTCTATCTCGTCTGGTGGTAAGCGATGATGCGGCCTATGTTATTTAATAACATAGAAGAAAACGATCTTTTATACCCAAGGAATGTCACACTGTTATCCCCGTCAGAGTGCTGACACTTCACTCCTCGCCTAAAATGCATACAACCCCGTCCTATACAAAAACAGTCAGTGGTATTCCATCCACAACCTCGTGCACTCGTGAGTCACACTCGAAATTATATGTACCTATTAATTTGTGATCGTGGTGGCCCGGTGCGGGTTCGAAACCTACCAACGGCAAGTACCAATGTGACTTTTTCAGAGTTATATGCACTTTCTAAGATTATCTAGACACAAACGGTGAAGAAAAACATCGTGAGGAAACCTGGACTTATAATTTTTAATTATAAGTTTGTTATCGCCAACCCGCATTGAGCAAGTGTGGTGATTAATGCTCAAACCTTCTCCATGTGAGAAGAGGCTTTGCAGTAGTGGGCATTTATAGGCTGTTGATGATGATTAATTTGTGAAGTTTAAATAAAAATAATTTTGTTCTACGAACTGCAGTATTTTCTTTTAAAAGAGAAGTTATAATATCAAAATCTAACAGGTCGTTAGAGAAGTATTAGCCCAGAGATAGTTATTAGGCTTTAAAGGGACGCCTTTATCAAAAGGTTCGGAGTAAATATTAAGCCTTTGATTGTTAATAGAAAATATTTGAAGGTAAATCCTTCGCCTATATGGCTCAAGTTTTGACTGTGTCGGTGCTTTAAATATTAAATCGACGGTTAAGAATCAATAATGTCTATCTCAATTTTTTGCATTTTGTACTTTTGTACCAATTTTTTGCATTTTGTACCAATACTATCTAACTCATGGTATCTTGGTATATAAGAATATGAAAACCATCTAAGTTTACCTATCTTTTTCCAGCATTTATTTACTATTTTTATCAATTTTCACCTTTCTAGTAACTTATTATTTCAAGCAAAGAAATATTTTTTTTATCTACTGTAAAGTTGACTTTTGTGAGATAGACACAATTGATTCTTAACCGTCGAAATGTAACTCCTACTTGTCAATAAGAGTGGGCGTTAATAGTCATATACAGGACGCTTTACTAAGATTTGTCTCATTACTTAGGATTGTAAAAATAGAAAACAAAAGTTTAATTTAAATAACTAATTCTTTACAAATTGTATTCTTTGCTCTGCAGTCGCGTCTGAAACTACTGAGTAGTGAGGCTACTGTATTACTTCCTGACGTTATCTTCTTTATAAGTAAAAACTTGTGTATCATAACTATCATAACAACATAACACATACAATATAACATCACGCCTTTTATTCCCGAAGGGGTAGACAGATTACGGCACATTACGGCACTCAATGCCACTGTAAAATGTAACACCCACTTTTCACTATTTATGTTATGAGTCCCATGTAATAGAGGGTGAGCCTATTGCCATATACCGGGCAGAATTCCAGACTTCGTGCTACTACTGAGTTTTCTTAAAAAAACCCAGTAATACTTTGCCCGACCCGGGAATCGAACCCGAGACCCCTTGCCCGGCAGTCGCACTTGCGACCACTCGGCCAATAAGGCAGTCATACCAATTACTTCAGGTATTATCATAACAATTACTTCTACTTACTACCTCTTTGTTAAAAAACCCACTTTACGCTATATCATTAAATAAAAAAATAAGGTTGTTAAACACATCTGTTTGTTCTACAATCAACATAACGGTATGGGTAATAAGAAAAGTAAAAAAACTCACTTGCAAAGGCAAAAAGCGATCTCAGTATTCCAATGCACTCCGGTCTTCCGATAAAATCCCCTAAGAGCCGCCATGCACCCTTCCCTGTCACAATCGCTGGTATGACACTTCTGCAGCACAGGAGTCAAAGAGGTCACGCACTCGCTGTCCTTGATGCAAGCGTCCAACGCCACGTGGCACGTAGACTGAAGAGCCACCTTCTCATCACCTGGTTTACCGTTTTCCTTTCCAATTCTCTCTGTAGGTTGTGGTCATGTGTTAGTTGTAGTGATGTCTGTTCGTGTTCATGATCATAAAGATGTTTTAAAAGGTACAAAACCTCTTTTAGAAAGTATATCAGTGTATACAATACTAAGACTGAAATGATTACACAGCAACGAATTGTTAGGAAAGTTGAATTGGGTAGTTTCCAGGGTATCAAAATTAAAAATCTAATTAGTCCGTCAGTTACATAATGAAAAAATATTAGACACGTTTTTTTTTATTTTCTCGTATTAAGTTGCGATACTTAGATAAAATGGCGCTAAGTTTAGGAGTGGGAGGTTGTTACGTCATAACGTGCTACAAAATGTGGCACGCTATGACGTCACACGATATTTCAAATTTATATATCGTCGAAAGTATATAATTTTATGAGAAAAGGAAAAATACGTGTCTAAAGTTTGAAATTAATGTACCAGACGGACATTAAAATAAAATTTAGGAAACTACCCTATTAGACCATCAATGTTTGTTTGCCTAAAACATGCCAATCATTCTTGAAATCCAGAGTAATTACTTTGTGAATCAACTTTTACGTCCAAAGAGGCTGTAACGAAATTGTTTAGGGTTTTCCAAACATCAGTTAAATAGGTTTTGGGGTTAATTTCGTAAGTTTAATACTTTTGATATTATGTTTTATACTTTTGATGGAATGCCAATCAATTTGGGATATATATCGTTCGTTAGTCTACGCGTTTTAACCGGTTTAGTTTATATTCCAATTATTTTAGTTTATTTAGTTAGTTTATTATTTAAGAAGGTATTCATCTAGGTTAGCCAGACTCTATTTATTATTTCACCATTATCTCTCCCTAAACACCTAAATTATGAAACGTTAAAGAAAAAGTGCTTCTACTCATAAGACGCAGTTTATTTAAACGCAATAGTAAATATAAAATAAATAAATACATTGTAAAAAATAAATAAATGATAAAATTATTAATGGAACATAAGATAAAAGAATCGTTATACTGAAGTGTGGGTAATATGCTCATGCTAATATAAATATAATTTACATCATGTGGATAAAAATTGAGAATAATAATAATTATGGAATATTATGTGTGAGAGAACAATAAAAAATTACGTGTCGTGAATAAACACGATGAGTTTGCCAATGAAATCGATATAATCAGTATGAAAAATCTTACGTCAAATACAAGCGTTAATCTCAATAAATCAGACATGCTTTCAAATTACGTAACTCTTTGTGAGGCAAAAACTCCATGAGATATTTGTGCCGTTTCAAAGTTAAATATGAATAGAATATTTAATGGGTACATGCATAGTGGACCGTGTACGACTATAAATAAATAACACTTCTTTCCAAATGTTATATCCGTGCTACACCCGGGTAACGTGGACAAGTCACACCCGTGGAACATGAATCTTGGGCGTAATTTGCAAAGCTTCGCGGAGATCCTCATCTCTAAGCGTTCTCGCTAAATCGCTCCTTTACAAACTAAATTCTCTACGAATTTTCGGATCAGGAAAGGAAGCACTCGAGGGCTCTAAAGCTAGTTATCCCTTCTAGTCATTGTCTCTACGCAAAGCTTTACTTCGTGTCCGGTTAGGTTTCTATCATTTACTATAAAATTGTGGAGGATTCTAAACTAAAGTGCTCGGAATACGGGGGTCGAAACAATAAGGGGGGTAAAGAGCACTCAGAATAGTAACATGGAGGTGCTAAAGAAATGAATCAGATCACCCATGTATCAATGGTTTCCTAAAACCGTCTAGTATTGTACAGTTTGGAAGCTCGAAGTGATGTGACTTACGATATCTATGGTTAGTTGTACTGTCTGTTATATATGTGTTTCTTTTTTTTGTAACACCTCTTATTCTGGTTACGTCAACTAATCTTTTTGTATCACTTATGCTAGACATCAATAAAGTGTAACAGATAGATAGTGTGGTGGACTACCGACAAAAAAAAGATTAGTCAACGCTTTGATATACCAACGCTATACGTACGGTTTTCATCAATGTATCCTGGCCCGTAGACTGTCTTGGTCGCGTACAAGGGATCTTCGCTCCCCCCCGGCTCATGGTTCCAGCGATGGTAATGGTGCCCGTGGGGATTGTAGTGAGGACTTGCATAACGGTGGATGTGCGTCATAATTTTGTCCGGAGCAATCAGGTTCCCATCATGTGTTATTGACATTCCGCCGATCCACGAAGTCACACCGGTCCCATTTCGATTCGCGATTCTTCCATCCGACATCAGCTTTACTGGAATTTCATCCATCGAATCGCTTAGCTGAGGCAAGCTCGACGATCGAGCCATAGCGCGACGGGACTCCGAAATCGTAACATCAGAGGCGATCGCGCCGGTCGATCGACGTACATCGATATTTAGAAAAAACTGACCTTACGGACGGTAAATATAAAAATGACAATCCAATACAAAACAACGATTAATCGCAAACGTTACGACATTTAACGGGCAAAAATGAAAAATTTCCAACGATTTAGAAAATGTCCCGGTAAAGAAATGATTAGCAAAGCCTCCCCGGTTGGCAGTCCCGCTCGAACTATTTTCAAAGCCAGTCTATGCCGCGCAGTAACCATAGAGATCGTAGAAAAATAGGAGATGCAGAAAGAAAACATGCAGACATGCGCATTTCAAGATTCCACAATAGACTTTCAGTCCGTCTAACACAACATCACGAGTGAAAGTCTAAAATGGTGTAAATAGGAAAAGGAGAGCAACAATCTATAAAGCATGCAGGCATAAAGTAGGAGCGGATTTCCATTAAATATTCATTAGAATCATTAAGGAGACTTAAAAGCTAACTCCGCACTCACTAAGTATGTAGCTAATTGAAATTCTATTCAGATCCTTATTATTAAAATTGGGTCAGCCTTCACTAATATAGTTTTCAGAAAAATTCTAGAATTTCAAATTGTTAAAGCCGTGTCTTTTATTAAAGAAAGCTGAGACGATTTGTATATTCTAAATTGTGACGTTCCGTGTAATATTTCATAAAAACCGCTAAAAATGTAAATAATTTGAAAATATTTGCTATAGTGTATCGGCAGCCATTTTCTGGTAGACTTGATTGTTGGCACGTATAGCCACGCTCCTACCTTACGAAGCGTAGTGCGAAGCGTGCAGTGCGAGAGGCGACGGAATCCGACAGACACATAGAAAGAGAGAAGATGAAGAGAGGGTGCGGCGGCGGCTCACCGTGGCGGGGCCGAGGGGGGCGCGGGGAGAGGAGGGCGGCGCGCAGGAGGCTCGCGGCCGCGGCGCGAGTCATCAGCCGCGTGCCGTTCTCGGTGAGAAGCAGGATGGTACCGTCGGGAGCAGCGTAGCGTGTGAGCGCCGGCGCGCGCGCAGTCGGGCGGCGGGGCGCTTCAAACAGCGCCCGAACCGCCGGCGGGCAATCGCCCCACGCCGCCGCTGCCCCACAACCACGTTACCAACAAACACTACCACCCACCACCTCTGCTCGCTCACCCACCGCACTACGAACACCCTCAAGGGAGCTCACTCCCTTGAGAGTACTCAAGAAACCAGGTAGACGTGACTAGGGTTGTGTGTGCCGCCCCGAAAGACGATACTGACAAAAGACCGATTACCGAAGGCCGAAGGTGTTGGAAGCCAAGAGTTGAGGTAACTGCGGGCATTTGTACGGTGTGTGGTCAGGAGTACACTAAAAAGAAGCTAGTGTCCAGTGAAACATAAAGTTGAAACAGCCTTGTGTGGTAAAGTAGTGATCTAAGTCAATCCTAAGGCCTATGCATCTAAGTTGTGTTCAAATAAAATAGGCACGTATAACAAAGTAATGGAAAACGAAATCAAATACGTAAAACAACTAAGTAAACACGTTGACGGCTATTTGAAAGTGAGTCTAGTACTCCTTCAGAAGCATTTTATAGTGTAGTGTTATTGTTTTGTTGTTATTTATGTATTGTTTTATGCTGTACGTTTTGTAGACCCGTGTCGTATGCTTAAATAACATTATTCTTTTTATTACAATAGCTTACATTAACATAACATCTATAGAACACATAATGATGTTGATGGTGTCCCGCAAGGATGGATCTTAGGACCAGTGTTTATACATTACATACATACATCAAGACAGGTTTTTGATAAGTGTCACTTATATTACGCGTGTACCTATGCGTTGCCAGTTTAAACACTTAAAGCTATTGCTAGTTAGTTTCATATTATTGAGTTCACGAGTTCTGAGTGAATACTTTACCAAAAATTATACAGATACATGACAATATTTACAAAAACACATTTCTGGAAATGAAAAAAGATAAAAATAATTCCTAGTTTCTAGAAAATTCGAATAGGAACCTAGTAACTACTATAAAACCAGTGCTAGTAGCAAACAAAACATGAGCTATTCTTCTATTTTCCAACAACATGTTGGAATAACATCGCTAACGGCTTGTCATTTTCAGATTACCTCGAACATAACAATACAGTTTGAAAGGTATTTTTCACCGAACGCCTCGGTTCGGATATTTTCCCCTGAAGCTTGATAGCTGGAGTAATTTGTACAGATGTATATGTTCCCACGTCGGGGCAGCCACGTTATATTTTAAACTTTGAACAAACAGTGTCTTTCTCGTTTGAAAATTAAAATTTAGAACGGTGCGTTAAATCATTTTATCCTGTGTGGTGTTTGAACGCTTTTTTAATGTATTTTTATTGATAGGTATATCATATATTATATCATATCCTTAGCTTTATACATTTATTAAACTTTTCATTTTTACGAATTGTGCTTAATTTTGTTATAACCAATGTTTTTAAAATTCTATTAAAAGTCTTTAATTTTATATTCCTTTAACATTAGTAATGTTGATTACATAAAGAGTAGTTTCTTTTATTTCTAAAATTTTATTTTCATTGTGGGTTTGTATAGATTTTTTTTATCACTTAATTGTAAAGTTGGGTAACCTGTAATTGGCGACTGTATAAGCCCAATACCTTCGTTATTTTTATACTATGTATACAGAAGCTATTGGTTTACCTATTCAAAGAAGTCGGTTAATAAGTAATAGGTATTATCGTAAGTAATTAACTTAAAAGGGTTAGGTGTGTAATGGACTTCCTAGGCTTGAACGAGGCATTTCGTCTGATATACTTTACATACTCGTATATATTTTTATAGTTTTTATTTGTCGTATACTGTTTTTTCTAAAATGAGATGTCGATGTCAAACTATAATCTACTATTACTAAAAGCTAAACTAAATTCTATCAAATTAGTTACAGAATCAACAATTAATTGTTAAGTGATTGTTGTTCGTTCCTAAAGTAAAGTTTAATAAATCAAAATTGAGTTAAGAATAATTATAAGATATCTTAGATATCTTCTAAGAACAGATTTTACACCTGAAATATAATCAAAAACGCCGGCGAGATATGCTAATATGTTTGTCAGAAAATTCAGAGTAACGATTTCTGAGAATGCCATTAAAATTACACTTATTCTTTTTCTATTGTTTGATATAATTGAGGTTATTTTTGTGTACATAGGCGTGACTATAGATATTTGTGTTTTTTGAGAAGCTTAAATATACAGAGAACACTATCGCTTCCCATAGTTAAAAACGTCAATATTTAAATATTGAAGTTTTTAACTAAAAATCGCGGGTTACTCACGTGAATATACTCAGAAGAGCTCTACTAGTTCTTAGCAGCCTATGTAGCCTACGTAGGCTGCGCGACATCGCCGCGACTGCGCACGCTGCTCATGAGGAACCCCTCGGTGGTTCGAAACAAGTAGACCTTTTCTCAGTATATTCAAGTGAGTTAACGACGATTTTTAGTTAATTTAGTATGTCTCACGATAGTTATTATAAAAACATTGTTTTTTTTTTTGTGAAAATGTAAGCACTGGTTACACTTTCACAATTGTATTTACGAACATTCAATCAACCCAGTGCCTAATCCTCGTTTTATTTGCACTTTAACGAAGTGTAAATACTTGAGTACACTGACAATAAAGGGTCGGGACTCTTTTTTCCGTTTCCCGGTCATTATGAGTCGGTTATCCGCCTGTTAGCAACGCCCCGGGTACAATATTACCCGGATATTGCCCTAAAACGATCCGGTACGGACACACGGGGAATTAGACAGACATGGGAGGTCACATATACTTTGGGGCAATTAGAAGTGCAAGGAGTATTGTTTCTTATCGTTTTGAGTATTGGATTTCTTTTTATTTGAGTGGTTTGTTAAACGAAATGGATTTGAAAATATCTGAATTATGATTCTATAACCTTATCTCTGTTGCTTTGTTTATAGAGATACCATCATATCACATCAACAGTCCGCCTTCCCTGACTGTCCACTGCTACACGATGGACCTCCTCTATATAAGTGGGGTTTGTCTTTGACATAATCGCCACACCCGCTAGCAGGCGTTAGGCGGCTTTTATGAAACCCACGACAAGAGTAGACCCGTGCGTAAGGCGCGTCACCTTCCGTTCGCGCCTCAAAGAGTCTTCTGACCACTACAGATGAGGCCTAGTAAGGCTGATGCCCGATATGGAGCCGCGGTAGGCCTAATGGGTTGCCAGAGCTCCGAGTCGCAGGAGTAGGAAAGGGGTGGTTTTTAATCAGTAAGAGTCTGAAACTCCCTCTCGCCTAACCCAAGGCGGGAGAAGAAGAAGGATGACAAGTCCTTAAAAAAATTCTAATACAGGTTATTATAATATTTTGATTTTTTCTAACGGTTTCTATTAAATTCTAGCCAGTCTTAGGGCCTCAACCTACCTCTAATATTAACTTCCCAAATAACAAATAATTGGGTCCAGTATAACCACAGCTTTAGTGACCTCATCAGGAAATAGGAGTCACGATCTAATATTTAATATATGTTCAGAAATCAGGGCATAACTACGTAGCCAAGTCCTTGAACCGGACCAAATATTGACAGTAATGATATATGAATGCTTGAACCTAGTTAGAAATAATCAAAGAATCTACCATCACGTCATGTCGACCTAGAAACTTGTCAAGTTTTATGTCGTGTACAAAATCTTATCTGGCCCCGTTTTTGGTACACACTGTATATAGATACAGGGTGATGTGAGATGTGTGTTTATTTCTTTTATAGAAGTGTCAACATTTTTCTTTGCTGTGCAATAAAAGTTAGATTTTGGTTTGCCTCAACGGTCGAATGATCGTAAGAGTGACTGTCGAGCAAGGGACGTTGTGTTCGGATACCCAGTTCTGATTGTTGTTGAATTTTCAGAATT